GTAGTGGGGCAAATCTGCTCACTTCCCAGGAACTAGGAAACAAAAAAAGAGGAAGAGGGGGCTCCAATATCTTCTTCAAGAGTACATTTATGATAAGACAACTTCCCACCAGTAATCCCACCCATTAAAGTTTCAAAATACTTCCAAGAAGTGCCAGGGACAAGGGACCAAGACTTTAGGGTCTTTGGAGGCTTTGATGTCCAACCTACAGCACATATAAAATGCATGAGTCCTGACAGATACAGGGATGGGCAGTCAACAAGCTGGAAACAGCTCATGGCTCAGCTCCTCGTGATCTGGGAGTGTGCTCACACTATGTGTGGTGGCTTCAGTCTTCAGCAGGAGGGCAGGATCCAAGTCTTACTCAGCTCTGGGACTTTGTTTTATATGTGAGCACCCAACGAAGATGCTGGCTTGTGCACTGAGTTGCTAAGCCAACTGATCTCCTTGACAATGCCATATGGAATGGGGACAATTTACATTGCCCTCAGTAAGGTGAGAGCCGCTCTAAGATGACAATCCACATCCTACATCCCGCTTTCGGGTTCTTTGCTTTCTAGTGCATCCCTAGCTGTGGAGAACTCCAGAATCAGTTTATAATATAGCCTATGCCTTCTTCATCTCACTTCCTCCACTGACACACAAAGGAAAGTGACACACTTGTGTCTGGCTCCTCAGCTCAGTTTGAATGTTTTCGACGATGGATTTTTTTTAAGTGGTGTGTTTTTGCATTCCAAGCATCCCACAAATCCCTATGTTGAAGTCTCACTGACACTGAGAGGTAAAGCCTGAGCCTCAACTGTCACCATCTTATTCCTTAAGACCACTTTCTCACTGGTGGATTGTCAGTGAGTCCACGCAGACCATGAGCCCTTGAAGTCTTAGTGCTGCATACCATTGCATTAGAGCAAGCCCTTTCTGGAGACTTGACAACCTGGTACCATGTCCTCCCACAATCATTCTCCCGTTCCAGCAGTTTATCTCAGGTGTCAGAAAAGAATGAAGCGTTGCTCTTGCACAACCCAACTGGAGGGGAATCTGCAGCAGAGTCAGCTGGCATCTGGAAAGCCAGGCTGGCCCATTGGCTAGGCAGTCACCTGGCCAGCCCCTATCAACTTATTCCAGGAACACAGCTAAACAGGACCCCCTTGGAAGATGTCTGGGGTAACCAGTATCTGAGGTATACATTCTGACACTCAGAATGGGACAGAACAGCACAGGTCAAAAGTCCTAGAGCTATCCGCAATGCTGGCATTCAGGAGGTGAGTGACTTAACCATCCCTGCAGGTCAGGCTCTCACTCCTACACCCCCAGGAGAGACCTGGGGGACAGTGAAGAAATGGCCTGGGAGGATTTATGAGAGTGAGGTAAACCTTTTCCTCACTAACCAGAAACTCACAGATCTGTGACCCCAGGCAAACATTTGTCCTCTCTGACTCAGTTTTCTGCCTTCAAAATGGACAGGGTGGGGGTAGGGCCAGACAAATGGTCAAGACCTTTCTAAAAACAAGGATCTTTGACCCTGATATTTACACACAACCAGAGGAGAAGCATAATTACTGGTTGTTTGTTTCCCCCGGGCCATGTGTGTGTGTTTCTTCCAGGAGAAATCCCCACCCCAAAGCCCTAGAATGTGTTGGAAATCTGGAATTGCAAAATCCTTGACAATTTAAATTTCTTTAAAAATATTTAATCTAAAAAACATTTAATCTATGTGTGTGTGCGTAAGTGTAATGCACGTGTGCATGTAGGAACCCAAAAAGGTCAGAAGAAGGCATTGGATTCCTTGGAAGTGGAATTATAGTTTTGAGGCATCATATGAGTGCTAGGAGTCAAACCCAGGTCTTCCTCAAGAACAGTAAGTGATCTTAACCACAGAGCAAGCTCTCCAGCCCCATGGTAATTCAGTTTTCTATTTCTGCTTCAGCTCCCTCCCCAATCTCTACCCTTTCCTTAACTATCCCAAAACTGGGGCCCACCATGATCCTGCCTTGTCTCATCCCACACCCCCTCCCCCACTCCCATCCCCCTCCCCCACCCTTCCATCCCAGGTTTATTTGTCGAGCATTTTCCCCAGGTGCCAGATTCTGCCTGTTCTGGAGCTAATGAGACTGTCAGTGTGGCTAGTTCTCAGGTCAGTCTTTAGCTGGAGGAGCTCCATCAGTCATCCGTGGCATAGCCAGCACTGCCTGGGAAAGAGCACCCAGGAAGGGCATTTAATACAACTCAGAACAAAGAGCTAGAGCAGGCGTTCGGTGAAAGGTTCAGGCATTACACTGGCCTGCCCTGTTACCTGGCAGAATGCACTCAGGCAGCACTCCGGCCAGCCCAGAGTTCCATGAGAACCAGTCTGCACTCAGGTGCAAAGGACCCCTTAAAAGGATAGACCCCTGCCCACTTACTCTCTCTCTTGCTTTATTTCTCCCTCTCTCCCTCTCTCTCAGCTCCACACGGGTTGGTTACCTCTCACCCCCTCTTCCTTTCCTATATACCAATAAACTCCACGTGGAGCCATTGACTTACAGTTCGTGTCTCATTACTGGGTAAACTTTAGACATTTTAACAACACTCAGCACTGACCCATAGCAAGCGGGCCTCCTTGGAGAGGCTTCAACCATGCTCAGGGAAAGCCAGGTATGTCTGGGAGCTGCAGCAGCAGTGAGAAGAGCCCTGGGAGCAGCAGGATACAGAAATTGGGGGGTGTATGCTGCACTTCCTTAACACTGGATAGACACATCCCGTGTAGAGTCTCGCACAACAGAGTCAGCTCATTACTGTCAGACTCCGCTCTCCGTCAGATCAACTCTCAAATAAGCTCCCTGCTCGGAGTCCTGAGTTAAAGGTCTCCTTCTGAGGGAAACTCCAGGTATAGAGGAGGTTGTTAAGAAACTGAGTTGATCAATGGGAAGACACCCCAGCAGGGGAATAGTTCATGAGGCACCAAATGGGGGAAGGATGTGGTAGGGATTTGAAAATGTGCTTATTGATCCCAGCTGTTTGTTACCGGACTCTAGCTTCCTTCTCTGGTCAAGTAAAACCTTTATGCCATTTTTCCTATGCTCCCAAAAATGCTAGAAGAGGAGAAAGGACTGCAAGAGGGTTCTTCGGTGTTCCTGAGAGGTGCCCATGGGTGCCACACGGTAGTTATCTTCAAGCCTACTATGCCCAAGAAGTCAGCTCATTGACAAAAGGAAATTTTCAACACATCTTAGCATCTTAAGTGATATGGATTTATCTAAATATCAAAGAAAAGGCTATCTTAAAAAGGAACATACCAAAGGCATCAAATACTAGTGATAGACAGGGCACCCATAATCTGCTCCAGAGCCCAGTTAACCTTGGGAACCCAGTTTCCTTCTCATGGAATAGTCAGCACTGTGAGAAGATTCAGTGAGACATTGCTTGTGGACCTGGGGTCTAGCAATGGGAAGTACTTAATTGTAAAGTGCTAGGCAGGGAAGAAAAGCAGAAAACACTATACAAGGGTGAACCCAATCTGTAAAAACTCCTAAACACCCATACAGGGACTGATACCAGTTTTCGCAGCATAGGGGCCCAATTGGATAGCACCAGGAACCCATCCACTAAAGCAATAGAGTAACTAACCTAGAGGACCTGGCACATCAACCTAGCGAGGGGGGCCAGCATGGGCCAGCACTGACACAGCAGGTGAAGGGGGCTAATAGATTGAAAGGATTGCGTTCCAGGACCACACAAGGTGATGATCTCAGGGCCAGGGGCTCTCCCTACCCGTCCCCACCAGTGTACAGAGGAGTGTCCCCAACATAGTTTCTCAACATATTTTACAGTCCTTCCAGTAAATGAATTCTCCTTTCTCCTGTGGTTTATTTGTACTTACATCTCCGTGGGTTCTGCTCCTTCTTATCCGGTGTCTCTAATGGAACTCAGAACTCCCCTGCTGGCTTCAAGGGAGCTAATGGCTTGACCAGGGTGAACAGAGCATATTTAATTTTGAGAGAAACCTGAGGCTTTGATCCTTGGGTATGCAACTCTGTGCAAAGTAAAGGCTATGGCTCTCATGGCTGGACCCCAGCGGTCAACCTCCATTCCCTTCCTTTCCCCATTTTTCCCTTGACTTCTCCCTCCCACTCATGCCCTTAATCAACCCCCCCTCCCTTGCCTGGCCTAGGCAGAGGAGCTTCTAAACAGCAAGGCCTCAGCTCGCCCTAGGCTGCCACACACATCTTTGAGGTATCCCATGAAGATGATCTCAAAGGAAACCGCCCTGGGACTAGTGATCCCACCCGACCAGTTTGCAAGGTGCCTGGGACTGCTCAGAGATGCCCAGATAAGCAGTGACAGGAGGGAAAACAGGAAGCTCTGGTCCCAGCTCTGGTCTATACAAAGAATTGGGGCTAAAAGCCCAGCCTGCTCTCTGGCTTCCTGGTGGGCCTGGGAGAAGCAGGGAAGGGTGCAGGGGCTCTATCTCTGAGAGTAAGGCTCTGTGCTCCAAACAAAGTTGAGTCCCCTTGTCCTCTGGGGGCCGGAAAGTTTTGATAACTGGGATCCATCGTGGCACAGGATTGCCCCTTCTGCATTTCCGGTCTCTGTATTTGTGCTCACTACTCAGAATCAAATACTAGGTCTCAGAGCAATCACTCGGCTTGGGGGCTTTTGCTAGAGATGCGGTCACTTTCCTGTGACTCTGTGCAAGCCACTCTGGGAAAGCACCCCTCCCTCAGGAGAGACAGCTTCTTTCTCTCCCAGCTCACCATTCAGTTCCAACCATGCCAGGAGCTAGGAATCACATAAAAGAACCAGATTCCTGGGAGGTAACAGGGCTTCACTGGGCACCAGGCCTTGCTGCTGCCTCCTTTTCTCAAGCTTGGGAAAAGTGAAGTAAGGAAAGACAAGGATGGGGTGGGGGCTGGTGGGAGATGCCAGGTCTAAGAGGGAAAGGCCCAGGGCAGGCAGAAGTGGGATAAAAACAAGACAAGTCTTGGTGGAAGGAGGGGCTTCAGGCCTGGAGTATCTCAGGCTCCTCCTGGATGGGGATGGGGGAGGGGCAGCAGGGAACCAGGCATCTTCCCTCTGACATTCAGAGTCACACTCAGAAGTCACTGGTCCCTGCAATATTCAAAAGTTTGAGGAACGTGAAGGGGTGCCACAAACCACACCACGGGGACAGCTACCAGGTAAGTGTGACATACTACAGGATGCATTCGCTCTTGGCCTTAGGTCCCAGCAAGTTTCTCATCACTTCCTACCAAGAGGGATGCCTTTCCCTTGGAGCTTTAACGGTGAGTAAGAGATTGGTGTTCAGCGGAGAACCATGAGAACCATCTGCAGTAACATGGGCTGTCAGCCAGTCACTTCTCGCCTTGGGCCTGCTTAGAAGCCACTCTGCCATTCCCAAGTCAGAACATAGCCACCAGAGCTACTCCTCAGGCCGTCTCAGAAGCACAGCTAGCAGGGCTCAGCCATCTCTCCTGCAAAGAGCTAACATCCAGGGCTGGCTTTTGTTAGGACCAGGAAATGCTTGATTCAAGGGTCCCAAGTCTTGCCACTGTCTAGGGCTCCTATCTTCTTCTGAAGGCAAGCCTAAACTCCCTCCCAAGAGAGGACCCCAGAACTTATTTTATGCAAACTAAGAAGTGGCAGGGGGCTCTTTTAATGAGAAAAATTGACCCAGTCTAGGTATGACTAACTCTTTTTTGACTCCCATTTAATCTTAGCTGAAGTTTAACCCTGGGGCATTCACAATTAAGACACAGCTGCTTATCCTGGGAAGTTTACAGAGAAGTGAACAGCCTTCTCTCAGAAACTCAGAGAAGAGGGACAAGGAAGCATGGGGGATTCTGGAAGAGTCAGATCAGATATGGAAAGATGTGGGAAGCCTCAGGGAGGCTGGAAAGGCAAAGGCATTACTAGGACAAGCAAGTATGCTTGGGTCCTGCAACACAGATAAGGGAAAAGACGGTCTCCACCTGTTCGCTGACAAGTACGTGGTGGGGGTGGGGTGAGCTTCACTCTGGTCTCTGTGTCTCTGTCTCTGTGACTCTCTCTCTCTCTCTCTCTGTCTCTCTGTCTGTCTCTCTGTCTCTCTCTGTGTCTCTCTCTGTCTGTCTCTCTGTCTCTGTCTGTCTGTCTGTCTGTCTGTCTGTCTGTCTGTCTCTCTCTCTCTCTCTCTCTCTCTCTCTCTCTCTCTCTCTCTCTCTCTCTCTGTCTCTCTCTCTCATACACACACACACACACTCTCTCTCTCTCTTCAGGACCATCCAGGGACACACTTTTGCCTTCCGTTCGTTCAGGAGCTTCCTCTGAAGTCGCGGTTTTTCCTAGAGACTAGGCATGCGGTGGATGCTTCTGCTGCTACTGCCGCTAAGGCAGCCGCTGCTACCACTGCTGTTGGTGCAGAGCCAGAGCCTGGCGGGACTTTCCCAGGAGACCATTCCCCTCTTCCGACTCACTCATCAGGGACCCTGGGACAACCAGGACAGCCACACAGTCACCAACTCGCCCTGCGAGGGGCTCCCTGCTGCGGGAGCCACGACCCTGACCCTGGCGAACCGCAGCCTGGAGCGCTTGCCCAGCTGCCTGCCACACACGCTGCGCATCCTCGACGGCAGCCACAACCTGCTGCGCACCTTCGGCGGGCCTGAGTTCGGTCGCCTCCCAGAGCTGCACATGCTCACCTTGAACCATAACCGCATATCTACGCTGCACTGGGGCCACGGCATGCCCGCCATGCTGCAGGAGCTCGACCTCAGCCACAACCTGCTGGCAGCATTGCCCCCCTGCGCCGGGCCCCCGGTGCTCAACCTGCGCTCTCTGGCCCTGGAGGCGAACCCACTGAGAGCACTGCAGCCACGGACTTTCGCGTGCTTCCCGGCGCTGCAGCTTCTCAACCTCTCCTGCAGCGAGCTGAGCCACATCGCCCAGGAGGCGTTTGTTCGGGAGGATGGCGGGCCCCTGGCGACTCTGGAGATCTTGGACCTGAGCAGCACACGCCTTGAGCGAGGTGAGTGCAGTATGAGGGCTACATGTGCTCCTGGGAGGTAGGGGTTAGGGCTGGAGGTCAGGGCTGCGTTCTTCCAGAGTTGGCCCCCAGTGCCCGAAGTGCCACACGGTCACAGAACTGCTGTAAAACTTCCGGATTACATATGAAGAAACTAAGGCACAGATGGTGGCATAATTTGACCAAAGTCTCACAGGTCTAGCGCCTAATGTCCCCAAATCCAAGTCCAAACATTCCACCGGTACGCTCAACACCTTAGCCCCTGTGTTCTGGCTGGATGAAAGCTATGGGATGGCGAGGTGAAGTCGGCGTTGGAGCTCATATATATAACCTTTGCCTCAAGCATGCCAAAGAGAAATTCATTGATTGGAATTCATCGATTCCTCCCACCCCCGCAAATTGTTTCTACAGATGTTGGATTCCTCTAACAGGATGTGGGAGGGAGGTGCGTTTGGTTCCCGAGCACGCTTTTGTTGTTTTAAAAAAACACTTTATGTATCTATAACCATTTCTTCAGCATAATGGCGTGAAGAAGGGTGGCAAGGGGCTAGAGAGAACAAGATGTTCAGGAAGGAGAATGTTCTCCACATATTGGGAGATGACAAAACTGAGTTCCTGGGGCCTCCTCCAACCATGTGCCCCTCTCCTTTCATAAGTTCCTCGAAAGCTCTGCACTCCTACGAGGCAATTCTGGCTGTTTTGTGTGTGGAGTTTAACCTGAGGCCGTGACAGTGGCAGGCTTGGAGACAGTGTCCCAGGTAAGGGTTACAACCGTGTGGCCTTGGGTCATCCATGCTTTCTATGTTTTTAGCTAACTTGTGAAAAAGGATTAGGCACAGCCGAGGAAGGGCCTTGCCACCACAGCACCTGTGGTCTCCTCCTGTCACTCATTTCTTTATTGCCGTTCTGGTCCCCTGGGGTTTCGTGCCATGCTGTAACGGATAATTCCCTTTGATTTCAGTTGAGTCTGGGTGGATCAGAAACCTGCCACAGCTCAAGTCCCTCTACCTGAGAAAGATGCCCAGGCTGAAGACCCTGGAAGGAGACATTTTCAAGATGACCCCCAACCTGCAGCAGCTGGACTGCCAGGAGTCCCCAGCGCTAACTTCTGTCCACACACAGATCTTTCAAGACACTCCTCATCTGCAAGTCCTTCTGCTGCAGAAGTAAGCGATTCTAAGGCCAGCTCAGTCCTGGGACCGATTTTGTCCTTATGCTATATTGAATTTTATATGGCATACTAGTCCTTGCTGTTTCTGCCACTGCTCTCCCAAACCCTCTCTGGCCTTCTGTTCTCCCCCATCTTCCCTGTGGCGTCTTAAGCAGATCCCAGATAGTTTCCCCAGCTTAATAACTAGTAACGAGGAGACAAGGAGGTTGGGTCTTCTCTCCACTGGAACCCTCCTTCTCCCAAATGATGCCATTTTAGTCTGAAGGTATGGGGTTGGGAGGGAAGGGACAGGTTTACCATGCAGTAGGATCAGGACTTGGTCCTCTTATTCTAGTAGCAGACGTTGGTTTGGCTTCTCAGAGTAGCAGAATACTGAAGATGACCCCAGGCCACCTCTTATCAGTGGGACCTACATCTGGGACCTGTCATTTGACATAGAAGCATCCTCTTTTGTTCCTCATGTTTTGGTAGGGAAGGGGATTAGAGGATTCCAAAGCACATCCAGTCTCTTCTCCCTCTTTGATCAAGTTTACAGATGGGTAATGTGTCAGTAAACCCCTTCCTTCCCTTGTTTTTAACAGGGTGTAGAGCAATTATCTTTGGGATCTGGGCACCTCAGGCAGCCTCTTACTCAGTGTTCTCAGCCTTTATGGTTCCTGTTGACCCTAAGCCTAAAATAGCCCTGTTTGTAATATCCAGTTATTTAGCAGTCTGTTCTGTGTCATTGACAATTTGTAAAAGATTAAAAGTAGCAGCATTGAACCTTAGTTCTCTGTTCCCTGACCCACTTGGGCCTAGTGCTTTCCAGAGGACAAATACCTGTCTCTCCGAGTCCAGGAAGGTAGTGTGTTAGAGGCACAACAGGACTTTGCTAGCAATTCCAGGGAAGCCTAGAGTGCTTCTTCTTAGTTCACTTTTGCCCAATGCAGGTGCCAAATATGAAACTATTTTTCCTTAAGAATAAATGCTTTTCCTTCATTCAGTAACCAGATACTAAGAATGTATGGTGTGGAGGAGAAACACGTGTGGCTCTGACTCCTTTGAGCTTAATAAAAAAAATAAAAAAATTCAAAGTAAAAAGAATGAAGCACTGGAAAATGATATAGAGTGAAACAGAAGTGTAACAATGATGCTCCCTTTGGGAATTTTCACATGAAAAAGGCAAATGGGAGCCCTTAAGTCTGTTTCTGGACTGATGTCTATAGACTTGATGAAGTTGGGACTAGAGAGGTGGCTCAGAGAGAAAGGTGCAGTCTCTAGTGCTCCAGGCATGGCGTGCACATCTGGAACTACAGCATCCCAGGATGCAGAGTAAGTCCCTGCAGTGTGCTGGCCAGCCAGCCTCAGCCAGCCGCAAACTTCTGGCTCAGTACAAAGACCCTGCCTCAAAAAATAAGGTGGAAGGCAACTGAGGAGAGCATCCTGATGTCAGCCTCTGACATCCTCAGACACGTGGATGGATACACAGTCCCACATCACGTCGGTATGCGTATCCTCCTCCACTCCCTCTCACACACGCAGAGATGATAACACTACCTGGTGGAGGTGATGACGATGGTAGTGATGATGACTGTACCATCCTAACGGTGGTGGTGAGGCTGCAGATGGTGGTCCTAACGGTGGTGATGATGATATGGCGCCACCTTTCAACAAGACCACGGTTTAGCACAGGAAGCAGATGACTGCCAACTAGCACAAGCCACCTCGAACCACAGCAGAGGCACACACCCTGGGCTGTGTTATAATAAAGCAGGTAGTGGTAGTGGTCCATCAGGCTGGGTAAGGGAGGCTTCTGTAGGAAGGGCGTGAGGGAGCCATGGCCCTGTGCAGATCATGCTGCCCATGATGAGCTGGAACTGTGAAGGACAGGGGAGTAAAGTCAAGCATTCTGTCAGACTCCAGGGAAGAAACAGGAGAGAGCCAAGAGGGGATCTGCCATTCTTAGTTGTGGGAAACTGTAAATATGCCCCCATTCCTGCCCCCCATTCCTGTTCCCCATTCATGTCTGTGATTGTTCATCTCCATCCATCAAAAGCTTGACACTGAAGCCTGGTGACTTTAAGCCGGCGCTGTATTAGCCATTGTAGACAGGAAGGAGACAGCACTGAGAGTCACGGTTTGTTTTCTCTTACTCTTGGAGCCCTGACTACCAGGTGATGTTCTAGGCTGACCTCCCAAGTGCTGGAGAGGGGTCCACACCCACTTGGGGCTCTTTGTAGGTGACGTAGTCCTATATCACCTGGCCCAGGTGAGCCTGCCCAGACCAGGAACTACCCAAGCCACCCCAAGAATCATGTGAATGAAAACAAGGCATTTGTAAGCTTCTACGTTTTGGTGCCATCCTCCACTTACCAACAGCTAACTGGTGCACTAAGGGAAGTATTGTGTGAGTATTGGCATTGTGCCACCAGTTATGGTCCAAAAACTCATTTCTGGCTAGATCCAATTTGCTAATGTCCTTCTGGCCTAAGTAGGTCACCAAGTCAAGGGGTAGAGAACTACAGACTAGCTTCGGATGGGGAAAGGGGAGGTCCCATTGCAAAGGCATGTGCCTACAGAGATGAGAGGACATGTGGACATTTTAACAAATAGCCCACTATACCAGCAATGGCAAACCCACTCCAGGCTCTCCCCCTCCTTTGTCCCTGGAGTCCAACAGAACATTTATCCTATACTTACTCCACTCTCTGCGTCTCTTGGCTTACCCAGTGGTATTCTCACTAAGAGTTTGGGATTAAGGGTGATAAAATGCCTACCTAGTATGTGTGAGGTCCTGGGTTCAATCACCAGCACTGGTATGTAACAGTAGTTTCTATTATTTACTTTTTATGTAAAGACTTATATTTACTAATGTTCATTATCACAGACTTCTGGTAAAAAGCTCTTGGCGTGGGGGTAGTTTCTCTATTCAGTATGAGTTAACAATGACTGAGCTTGGTTGGCAAAATGGGAGGTGTAAATTCATTTTGGGTACTACCTAGGGTTCTATTGCTAGCAGAATTGTTTTTCCATAATACCACTGTGCCTCTTAGGAACGCTTTTTTCTTTTTCTTTAAGGTTTAATTATCAGGGGCTGGAGATGGCTCAGTGATTAAGAGCACTGGCTGCTCTTCCAGAGGTCCTGAGTTCAATTCTCAGCAACCACATGGTGGTTCACAATCATCTATAATGGGAACTGATGCCCTCTTCTGGTGTAAAATCATACATGCAGGTAGAGCAGTCATATGCATAGTAAATAAAATATTTTTTAAAGATTATTTTTATTTTATATGTATTTTTGCTTTGCCTGTGTGTGTGCAGTGCCCATGGAAGCCAGAAAATGTGAGATCCTCTGGAATTGGAGTTACAGATGGTTGTGAACCACCATGTGGGTGCTGAGAACTGAACCCAGGTCCTTTAGAAGAGCACCAACCAGTGTTCCTAACCTCTAGGCCATCTCTCCAGCTCTTGTGGGAATATTGTAAACCTAACTGTTCAAACTGAACCTAAGATTACGACTTAACTGATTTGAGTGTGTGTGCGTCATTTCAGCTGCAACTTGAGTTCCTTTGGTCCTTGGATTGTGAATTCCTCCCAGATCTTGTCTGTGAGCCTCTTTGGCAACCCTCTCACTTGCAGCTGTGAGCTGGCGTGGCTTCTCATGGATGCAAACAAAACTGTCTTACACAGGTAACACATTCACCAAGCAGATAACTGTGAAATGAGATCATCCTTCCAGAGCCGGAGCTGTCCCAGCTTATGGCTTCCCCATAGAATTCACCCCCATGTAGTCAGACAGGAGGGATGAAGGCTCTACTTCTATTCCAGCCAGCAAGAAAGGGCAAAGAACATGGAAAAACTGACTTGTGAGCTTTTAAATGGATAAGGTCGCAGGATGGCACTCACAATTGGTCAACAGTTAGTGGGCAGGCTATACCTAACTGCAAAGGAGGCTGGGAAATGTAGTCTCCGTGCCTTGTAGGAAAAGGAAGACCAGATGTGCCATTTCTCCATTTTACAGACAAGGGAATGGAACCCAAACAAGTAAGGTACTTGATGAATTCATGTAGCTATTGGATGAAAGAGGCAGTATCCATCTTCATCTACATCTGTGCTCCTAACCACTAGGCCCCTTGGCCCCCCAAAATGGCCTAGCTTCCTACTCTTGCTCACTCAGACTAAGCCCAGAATGCTTACAGAGCTTTCTCATGAAGCAGGAAACAAATTCTAACAGCATCTCTGGCTTAGAAGAGCTCCAAATCTCTTGACAGTCAGGGTCTCACTGAGGTATTAAAAATGATGTTGAAAGCACATGCTAAAGCAAAATGTCTGGCTTCATTCCACTTCCTACTATAAATATGACAGTGTTACATCTGTGGGGATGACAGTTCCTACTGCATAGTGCTTTCCAGGTTTATGTTCTACCATTGGCTAGCCATGGCATCTTGGGCAGTTAGCATCTCTCTCCTTTTACCTTCTCTGCCTAGAAGAAAGGGCAATAGGATCCTTACCCCAAGGTTTCCTTGGTCAATAAACTGATGTTACTAAGTCATACCTGGTAGAGATGTGTTGGCAGAGGAGACCCCCACATTGAGGATTTAAAACTCTGAGACCAAGTGTCTCCTAATGATTGGTTTTTCCCTCCAGGGCAGCAGATACCATGTGCGAGCCCACTCCAGGATCCAAGGTCCCCTTCTCTGGCCCTCTCTCCCTCTTCCAGCTGTCTGATGTATGCAGGCCAGACCAAAGCTCCACCCTCCTGACTTCAAACCCACCGCACTTTGATCATGCACCACAGGCACAGGGGCCTTCCATTGGACAGAGCACGGCCCCATCTGCTCAGTCTGGAGGAGGTCAACAAAATATCACTAAGGTCCCCTCCCACACCGTGGCTTCTCTTACACATGGGTCATGGATGCATAATAATACTTCAGAGGAAACTGCCCGGTCTACTACTGACTCAGTGACAATTTACCATCTCTCCAGGGCTCTGCCTGGTGCTGCTAGCACAGGGCCAGAGCAGACTGCCACACATATCCTCGAGCCCAGTATCTCACCTGCCTCCACCACACTGCTCGGCAAATACTTTGGACCTTCGCCTACTTCACCAAGCCCCAGGAGAATATCTCAGACCAACCAGAGGACACAAGCCACCACCATGGCTCTGCACACACACCCGCCACAGGATGAGATTCCAGTCTTGCTGTTAGATGATGACAGCAAGGAGGATGAGACTCGTGATCAGGTGGTATCGTCTCACCAGGATGTCTCTTGTGATTATCACCCCTGCAAGCATCTGCAGACCCCATGTGCCGAGTTGCAGAGGCGCTTCAAATGCCGTTGCCCTGGTCTCAGTGGGGAAGATACCATCCCAGACCCGCCCAAGCTGCAGGGGGTTTCAGAAATGACGGACACATCAATGCTCATCCACTGGTGTGCCCCCAACTCAGTGGTGCACTGGTACCAGATCAACTACCTGGCAGAAGGGGGATCTGGGAACCAGTCAGTAGTGGGCATCTATGCTACAGCCAGACAGCACCCACTATACAAGCTGTCACCAAGCACCACCTACCATGTGTGTGTACAGGCAGCCAACAGGGCTGGCCTGAGCCAGCAGCAGACCTCAGGCTGGAAGAGGTCATGTGCCAACTTCACAACCAAGCCCAGCTCTGTGGTCATCTTCTGGGCACTGTGTACCTCCAGTGGACTGTTACTAGTTAGCACCCTGGTGCTGTCTGTGTGTCTCTGGAGGCAGCGCTGGAAGCCACACAGGCAGTTCTATGACACAGACCTGGTGGCCTTCAAAAACCCGGCTAGGGCTGAGGAAGTAACTCAGTGGTAGTTGACTTCCCCATGCGCAAGACCTCGGATTTGTCTCCAACATGAAAATCGGACACATTTGAGGTCTTGGGTTAATCTCTAGTGACCAAATTAAACAACAGACCAGTATTTGACCACCTGCTGAGGCCCCAGACCATCAATTATCCCAGCTTCTCTTCCAATCAAACCAGTCTGTATGCAGAAATTACAACCTAGTGCCTAAAAACAACACGAGTCCCACCTTCCCCAAAGCCAGCATGCCTCCCACACACTCAGTACTCTGTGTTGCTTCCTTCTGTTCCTCCTCTAACTGTTCTCAGTAACCTGATGGTCAACACCAGACAGTCCTACTGGCAGCTGTCATTCTGCGTTGTTCCCTTGGGATTTTTCAGCCGTCAGTGTCTCCCTCAGTATCTACTGGGAGAAAACAAAGCAATGTAACAAGGAACACAAATTGTTTCGGAAACGCCATCCTTAAGTTTCTTGCATGGAAGTTGCCTTGTGGCTAGCATGAGTTGCTAGCCAAGAGCTGGTGGTCAAGGAAGAGCTACTGGCTTTATTGGTTGCATTTCAGTGTATGTCAAAACACGTATTTCAAGTTTTCCAGTTAACACTAACTTTCTGCTAACATCAGTGAAACATAGGAAAAGACTATTTGCTTCCATGGTTTCCTGCGTGTCACTCAAGACTCAATAGACAAAAGTAGCGTGAACTTTATTGCCTAGACAAGGTTTTACTGTGCAACCCATACTGGCCTCAAGCCTGGGAGCCTCCTGCCTCTCTTTCCAAATGCTGGAATTGTCTACGGCCATACCACCCTGAATGTGCACGATCTCATCCAAATGCTGGAATTACAAGAGTTTGGAGAGGAGGCAAAATTGACCCACAAAGACTTCTTGAATCCGTCTTTCATCTCCAGGACAGGCTTAAACACTAGCCATGCTGCAGAAAGCAAGCATATCCTAGCTGGAGCCAGATATGAATACTATACACTTCTGAGTGGCTAAGTATTCAAGCATGTTTTCAACATCCTAAAATATATCCCTAGTTTTATTAAATATGTGCCCAAGAGAATTGGAGTAAGTATTTGAAAGACCTCCCCGACATCCTGCTTAAAATGTTACAAAAGCTAGCTGGGTGTTGGTGGCGCATGCCTTTAATCCCAGCACTCAAAAGAGGCAGGTGGATCTCTGTGAGTTCGAGGCCAGCCTAGTCTACAGAGCAAGTTCCAGGACAGGCTCCAAAACTACACAGAGAAACCCTGTTTTGAAAAACAAACAAAAGGTCTATTTTATGGAAACACTGAGATAAATTTGCCAATCTGTATACACAAATGTATACTCTAATATTCGCATTCAAATACAACTCCAGTTTTCTATTTTAAAACTGAACAAAATGCTGGGTGGTGGTGGCACACATCAACAGACCCCAGCTGCAGCTGGACCACGGACCCAGACACAACTCTCGGCAGCAGCCCTGGCCCAGGTGTTACCATGGCCCTAGTGGCAGCATAGGCCACCTAGATCAGTATGACCCTGGTAGCAGCATGGTCCTCAGACACCAACATGGCACCCACATGGCCCTTGGCACTAACAGGAGCCACAGACATCAACTCAGATCCTGGCTGCTGTAGAGCTGTGGATTTATACATGGTCCTTGGCAGCAGCCATGGCCCTGTGTAGTTTTTTTCCTTGCCAGCCACTTTGGTTTTTCCCTGCCAGCCGCCTGGACTCTGCTGCGTTGTAGTCCCCAAATAACATACAAGACTCTGTATTAATTATGAAGCTGTTGGCCATTTGCTTGTTTCTTACTGGCTATCTCTGACTTAAGTATTTAACCCATAATTGTTAATCTAAGTATTTCTCTTACCAGAGAAAAGGGTCTGGACCTCTTACCCCTATGGCTGCTAACCCTGGGTGACAGTGCAGGCCACTCAGATCACCATGACCCTGGTGGCAACATGGCTCCTGAATAACCACATGGCCACAGGTTGCAGCCTAGACCTCATACATTAGTGTGGCCATTGGTGGCAACATAGGCCAAGGACATCAACACAGACCCTGGCTGTGGTAGGTCCGCCAACCCAGACATATATGGTCCTTAGCAGCAGCCTTGGTTGGATGTCACCATGGTCCCAGGTGGCAGTGCACACCAATCAAATCTTCATGGTCCTCCTGGCATCATGGCCCTTGGACACTAATCTGACCCCAAGTGGTGGCCCACACTACAGGCCTCATTACAGCCCTCAGTGGCCACAGGAGACACAGATATCAGCTCATGTCCCCTCACCTCTTCAGATCTGGCTTCTCCCCAGCCCATGAACCGCTCTACCTCCCCACACTGGATCCACTCATCAGAATGGTGTCTTACTGCTCGCCAGTCACATGGCATGGCTTGGATCTGTTGCGATTGCTGTGTCCTGGCCTGGAGCTCGAGCCCCCGGGGCAGCTTCTAGTGAGTCCTCCACCAGCCACATGGCATGGCACTGAGTTATCACTGTGCTGTTTGCAGGCAGGGCTCGGGCCCTCAGCCAGCACTTGACTGAGTCCTGCTCCGCATGACACAGAGCTGTTGCTTTGCTGCTTTGCAGTGTCACAGCCAGGGCCTAGAGTGCCCGAGCAGTTCCTGGTTGAGTTCTACTCCAGCCAGCTACACAGCATGGCACAGCACGGCATGACATGGAGCTGTTGCTGTGTCGAAGGCCCAGGGCTGGAGAGTTCAAATCTTGAACCACAAGCAAAAAACAGAGTGAACTGGGAATGGCACATGGCTTTGAAACCTCAGCCTAGAACCTCAGAAGCATGCCCCAGTGACATACTTTTTCCAGCAAGGCAACACCCTCTAAAGTCTCTCCCAAATGGTACCACTAACTGGGACAGCATATTCAAACACCCTAGACTGGGACATTGTCATCCAAACCACCACAGGGGATAGGTTGTGACAAGTCAGCACCAGCAACAGAGGGTTGAACCAACGCAAAATACAAGGAAACTACCTTCTATTTTAACACAGCTCAACAAATTGACTAGAGAGTTTTACTGTATGGTTCCACATTACTCTTAGTGTTAAAGCTAAGGAGAAATGGCAACCAAAGGCTTCCAGTATATGGAGGAACACCCAGCTTCTTCCTGACCCTACTTGCACCCCACAATCCTAAACACAGTGGTGTGGCAGGTCTTTAAAGTCAGATAGTCCTGAACCAGTTATGTTTACCATGTAAGGGGAAGTGCTGCATCTAAGTATACTTCATGGATTGGGAAACTAATGGAGTTGCATAACGACACACCAGGGAACAACCCAAATGGAAGGCACACTTTTTCCAGCTCTTTTATTCTTTTATTGAGTTAACAACAGAAGATCCCCCAAAGTTAAAAAAAACTCTGAAAAATATAGTTTTATATTATTTACATGACATATGAGTACAGGTTCCAATATCATACAAACATCACATTAGAAACAGTGGGAAGGCATGATGTAATTCTCTGCCTTTAAGATACAAAGCCTATTATTACATGTTCTCCTACTCTGACTCGCATGTTGTCTATTATCCCGAAACATAAACTATTTGGCACCTGAGAGGCTGGAAGACTACTGATGAACTTCAAGACCATCTATTTTATTTTGACCTTTTTTCTTTTTTGGTTTATCGAGACAGAGTTTCTCTGTACTGCTCTGAAGGTTGTCCTAGAACTCACTCTGTAGACCAGGCTGGCCTTGAACTCACAAGATCCACCTGCCTCTGCCTCCCGAGTGCTGGGATTAAAGGCATGCGCCACCAATGCCCGACTTCCTTTTTTATTTTCTAAACTCACTGCATTTTAAGGCTCTGTACACCTCTACCCTCCCCACAGCTAAGTTTATTTTCAGCTTCTCAAATGGTCAAATATTAGCCACATCAACTGTTAATGTGTTTATAGATTTAAAATTCAAACATAAAAATGCATAGGCTCGCTGTGTAGGGTATATATCTAATCTCAGGAAATCCCTCTTGCTTTCCTGTTTCAACGCTATCAACTATGTTTTTCAAATTTTTAAAAAAGGACAATAACTAGAATAATTCATCTCACAAATTAATCAAAAAACTAAGATTAAAAATTCTACATTATAGTTTTATTTGTATTTAAAAATACACTGGAAATTCTGCATAGGCCCATGATAGAGCTTATTTTCGATGTACATTACTTCGGTTTGAAGACATGGTTTGTCTGACAAGTCCTTTCTCAAGCTGAACACCAAGATGGGGAAAGTCCTGTAGCTTTCGCTGGCGCTGCTGCCGATGATGCGAGTCGCTTCCTTGCTGCAGGAGCTGAGTGCCTCTCATTTGCCGTTTATCACCTGAACAGTTTTCCGACCATAGTGATAATAACTGTATGCTGACGCAGCTGTAGTGAAGGCTGTACAACACCTTAGAAGGGGAGAATGGGACTCAGCTGTCAAATCTACAAACACTAACAGCAGAAATCATAAAGAACACATGTAAAAGATGGACTAAGAAAACAGGACTGTGCGATAGAATTGTCTAACTATGAAAGTCTAAATCCATGGCTTCCTTTAAGACTCATTTGAATTGGTGATGCCAAATAAAAACCATCTAGTTATTAAGGCCTACTGACTAGTAGTACTAGTAGCTGTCCTTTCTGACCACCACATATTCATACAGAAAGAATAGAGACAACTGTAAAAAGACTGAAGAAATATGGTACAAATCTAGATAGTTCCTACTCTGACTGCTTGGTACATATCTAAAGTCATGTATTACCTTGAACCAAAAACAGGAGAATCAGGTTATATATGGATGCAGTGAGAGAGAGAGAGAGGGAGAGAGAGAGAGAGACAGAGACAGAGAGAGACAGACAGAGACAGACACAGAGAGAACCTCCATTGATGAAACCAAAATACAAAGAAAAAAAACCCCTTCATTTTATGTGAGAAAATAAAGATCAGACTGCATCATTAAGTCTTTAGCTTAATTTACTTTAATTTAGCATCTTGTGCAGATTGCTAAAGCATGTTTTAATTATAATTAAAAGTTTACTAAAATACAGTTCAAAATCAACATGGCAGCCTATTTGGAATGCTTCCAAGTTTGACTTTGACACATTTCAAGACATTTACAAATGAGTAATTTATATCAAGTTTTCTTGTTGGACTTTCTTTAGATCTACAGCCCCCATGAATAATGACATAGAAGCTTGTTTGACTTTAGCTTAGGCTTGTTCCCAACTAGCTCTTATAACTTAAATTAACTCATGTCTATAAATCTACGTTCTGCCATGTGGCTCTTTACCTCTCCTCCATTCTGTATGTCTGACTCCCTCCATTTCTTTGGCTGGTGAATCCCTACCTCTTTTTCCCAGAATTCCTCTCATTCCTCAGAAGTCCCACCTATTCTCTCCTAGCTATTTGGTCATTCAGCTCTTTCTTAAACTAATCACAATGACACATCTTCACAGAGTACAAAAAGATCATCTCACAACAGTAATTAGCATATTAAAATAAGATTTAAAGAGCTTTCACTGAGTGTCCCCAAACCACACTCAGACTCTACTAGCCTGGATCCTCCAAAATGTCTGCTGAGGACCCAGCTCATCTACAGTTATGGCTCAAATGCCACTTCCTTCCTGTTGTTATCCTTCTCACTACCTTTTCTTCCTCTAAAACTCTTAACACATTGGCAATACTTCTCATTCCTCCAAGCTGTGACTGCTAACTTCTAAGCTCTGTGACTGAGAGTAAGGTTAAGAATGATTGCACAGGGGTCAGTTATGTTAATTACCATCTACTGTAAGAAGCTTCTCTGGTGAAGGTTGGTAGAAGCACTAACATATGGATATAAAGACAGGAACTTAGACACAACTCATTACTATGTCCATTTAGCAGGATTATAGTATTAAGTTATCTCCTAGGGTCTTCGACTTAGCCAGCCACAGATTTGGGGGTCCTGTTAATGGAACTAGGCTTTAGTTCCACCTTGTGGAATAGGTTTTAAATTCAACCACTACTGCAAACACTTGCTATTGTAGCTTTCAGGGTTCAAAGCTGGGCAAACCTGTTGCTTATGAGAGACTGTTGAGTGCCAGGTGCACACAGAAGAGCCATACCATACTCCCTACCCCTAAGACTCCATCCATGCAGGGAGAAATTTTTAAGATTCAGGGCGTTTGCAACAAAGTAGTATTTATGGAACATGATAAGTGGCATTGTATACATGAACTTATAATAGCTATAACTGTATGCATGCATTAGAACAGCACAAGGCAGTCAACATCTCTGCATGAATATGGTTGAAAATCATGAAGTCCTACCCTTTTCTGAGAAGCTATTGGCAACTGATGGCTGCTGGGGAAAGAGAACTGGTCTTCTTCAGGGATAAGCTCCTTACAGCTTACCCATGCTCTAGTAGAAGGTACTACACCTGTGCACACACAAGTATCACTAAGTGGACTCAGTGAGCATTTCAAAAAAAGACAGCAAATAAAATCAGGAAAAGTAATAGAAAGGGAGGAAAAAGGGGGTGGTCGGAGTGTTCATTAAACACTTCAAGAACAAAGTCATTCTAGGATCGCCACAATAAGTCATTGTACTGATAATGTCAGAGTAATTCTAAATTTAGCTTACCATAGTATCTGAAGATAAATGCTGTCAGCATAATTGAAAACTGGAGCTGCCAAAGAAGCTGCCACCAAAATTAACTGGACTGCTGTATTTACCTTAAAAATAAAGGCATTACAAATGAACAGTGACAAATGGTTCCTATTTTAAGCTTTTGAGGCAAAGGTATACTTATCATGACAAGCATTCTGGATTGAACAGCATTAGCCATGCCAAAGTTGGCATTCCCAGGTGAGAACATGTAACATGTCAGAGTCACAGCTTTATTTACAACAAGGGTAGTGACAACTATCAGGAAGTACCACATCTTGAATCCCACAGCAATTCAATGACACTATAAAATCCTTTGCCTTTTTTTTCCTAGCTAGCCATTCAATTAGCTCTGTAAATATGAAATAGTGATGTGGCTTCTCCCTGGGTGAGAGAATCACAGCAAGCAAGAGAGTCAAACATAGAACCCAGACTGCCAAGACCAATTTACCTGCTGCCTGCCACACTCTTGTCAGGTCAGAAAACCAAAATGCATTCATTGCCATGAAGTCCTCTGGGGAAATTATCACTACCTGCCCTTAACAGCACAACACAGAACCAGAAACAGCCCAAAGACAGCATTCTATGAAACAATGAGTATGATGCAGTTAAGGAAGGTATACAGAAATGTACCTTGGTCCTATTATTCATTTTACAGTCAAATGACAGTAATCACAGTGTTTTCTAAAATAAATAATAAATTCTGTCTGAGAAACTTCCTATAAGAACAAGGGTTTATTGGTGCATGTGTCCCAGCACTTCAAGTGACATTCTATGGAATACTACATTCAAATTGTTGCACTTGACACAAATGAAGTCACATGAAGTTATGTTGGTGATACTCTGGTGCTTGTACAAAGACAATGGTCCCTCTGTTCCAAGGATATCTATCTGTTACATCTGTCACAAGAAATAAACTGTAAGGATGACTTAAGTGAAATTAACAAGGCATTAGTATCTTTTTTTCTGTGCAAAGGTTGATGTACATTTATGGTCCTGAAAAACACTTAACAAAACACATAAACAACTTAGAGTAACTGTTTATTAATGAGTAGAACTATCTATTCCCTTTCCATCTAACACTTAAAAGGGTTGGAGCTACAGAAATAGCTCAGCAGGGTAAAGAGACAGGAGATCCCTCTCTCCCCTCTCTCTCTCCCTTCTCTCTCTCCCTTCTCTCTCTCCCTTCTCTCTCTCCTCTCTCTCTCCTCTCTCTCTCTCTCTCCCTTCTCTCTCTCTCTCTCTCTCTCTCTCTCTCTCTCTCTCTCTCTCTCTCTCTCTCTCTCTCTCTCTCTCTCTCTCTCTCTCTCTCTCCCTCCCTCCCTCCCTCCCTCCCCCCCACACACACAGGCACCTGCAACTAAAATGAATGAATGAATGAAAGGTTCCTAGATAAGGTGCTCTGACCACATAGACAGGAAAAGCACGAGACACTTCATAATCCTACACCTCAAGAAACACATCTCACTTTTTACCTGCCCTATGATTTCATTCAAGGTATAATTCTTAGCCTATGAGCAAAGACAAACTGCATATACTAAAGATTTTTTTAAAAATTTAGAAAACAGAAGAATTAACTTAAAATTGTCTGCCCAACCCCTTCTAGCCCCTCCAATCAATGCATTTAAATTTAAATTTGTCTCATTCTCAAGTGCCTGTGGCCAAGCCTAACAACTTGAGTTCAATTCCCAAGATCCACAAGTTGGAAAAAGAGAACTGACCCCCAAGATGCCTCTGCCCTCCACACATGTGCATGTACACACATGTTTAAGAACTCCTGAGACTTACATTCATTCCATTATAATAAAATTTCATAAGGGACAGGCTTCTTTAAAAGGTTGCTGTGGTTCTCTTACCTTGCTGATGAATGTGGGTTTTAATCTAGCAGTAGCATAGCAAGGATTGAAGTACTTAGCTAGTGTTCGCTGCCAAAAGAAAAGAGGTTTCAAATCAAAGTTTGAATGTTCAGCTTTCAAATCAAAGTTACCACTCTTATCCTATGCCTAGCCCCACTGTATAGCATCTTCCATTCATGTTAAAATAAGCACTATTTACATTCCTTACTAATTATTCTAGGCTATTGAAAATAAGATTCTTCAAAATGTAGAATTGACAAGTCCTACAAAATTGTACACAATTGCTCTCACAAAGTTTGTTTCATCACATATTTTCCCTAAAGAAACTTTTGTTATTCTCTTTTACATGTTAAAAAACAAAATAAATAAAACATAGCTTTATTTTTCCTGAGAACCAAAAACAGTAATGGTATACTTATATACTCAAATATTTATAGAACCAATGAACTAGCACATAAGCAAACCATCCTATTCTCCTATGACTGATTTTAAAAACAACTTCTAGACCATCCATGGTGAGGCTACATGAAACAATATATAGCCTGGAGCTATGAGACACCTCTAAGAGTGAGCTGCTTGGGGCGTGACTAGCTGCCCTGGGTTTCATATATCAATATGCCCAACTAAAGCTGGACACAATAGAAATTAGGTTTGGGGATTTTTTTTTTTTGGTTGTGGGTTTTTTATGTTTGTTTTTTGAAATGAGCATCTCACTGTAGCCCTGTAGACCCCAGACTAGTTTCAATCTCATAGAGATCCATCTACTTCTGTCTCTGGAATACTGAGATAAAAAGTATGTCACCAGCTTTTAAAACAGCTGTGTGTCAAATTGCAGGATAAAAAAATTTTTTTTTCGAGACGGTTTCTCTGTATTGTTTTGGAGCCTGTCCTGGAACTCGCTCGGTAGACCAGGCTGGTCTAAAATTAACAAAGATCCACCTACCTCTGCTTCCCGAGTGCTGGGATTAAAGGCGTGTGCCACCAACGCCCGGCTGCAGGGTAATTTTTTTCAAATTCCCATTAAGAAATACTTGGCATAAATATTCTCATAAAGTGAAATTGCATTCAAAAGAGTGAATATTTATAAGTAATGCTAAAAGGAATATTTCTGAAACTTACCGGTGTTGGCAGAGTTCGGTATCTGACATAAAACACTGCAGCGATCAACATTACATCTCTTGAAATTATCATGTAAGTGAGTGGAACTGAAAAATCAAATATAAGAACCAGTAATGAGGAGGCTGAAAATTACAAATACATGACTGCAGAAAAGCCTCATTCAGCCTCATACTATTCAATGTGTTCCATAAGTAAAAACTTTGTAACAATTACTTATGGGTGATTCATGCCTCTACAGTGAAGCCCTGATCTTTTTATTCCTTCTTGTAATCAGAATGAAGAGTAGATGGCTGTGTGACTTATCTGCCTCCAGAATTCTGACCCACTCACCACTTTTGTTCTCTCATGTGTCTGTCTATAAACGACAAATCTGTACATAATAGCGAGAGCTACAGCTAGCCTCTCCACACTCTTCTCAGCTTTGTGATTCAGGGAAAAAGAGGTCATGCTTACTGGAATCCAATGAAAAGGAATGATAAAGATGTTCAAGGGGATGTCAGAGAAGTTAAAATATCTTGAAGTATCAAGATGTTTTGTATCTGAATTTTAGTATATTCTCTAAAGAGCATTTACATACACAGTTTACAGATAAAAAAATATTTTCATTCTTGTTGACCTAGCTCCTACCTACACAACTATTATTCTTCTCCCTGCCCAGCTTGTCAATCAGTTCTTATCAAATGAGTCTCCCTTATTCTACGTGCTTGGATAAGAGATGTTCCAGATTTCAGTTTCTTGGGTTTTGGGATATTCGAACATTGCCCACTGAGCATCACTAATCCCCAAACAATCCAAAATGCCAAGCTGTTTGTCACTAAGGATACTGAACTCATATTCCTCAGTTTTCCCAGCATGGGCCCAGGATTATAGCCAACAGGAGGATAATTTTAGATGGGAGGACAGAACTTACTTCAGTGTAGAGCCTTCTGTACCACACAAAGTTTAAACCACAATCCTGTATATTTTACAGAATAAATTCTGAATTCAAATCATAGCTCACAGATACTCTTTTAGTTGTATTTTCAAACAGCTCAGAGGTAATCTGAGGCTATGTTTAAGGCCCTCTCCGGTTCTGACATTCTGTTGGCTCTGCACCTGCAACTGCAGATCTAACTGAATTTGCCTTGGCCTCACCATCCTCAACAGTGCTGTTCCAAAGAGAAAATGTGTCTAGCAGAGCATGTGACTCTAGTAGCCACGCTACTATTAACCACATTAACCATGGTTTTTAGATGTACTTTCTTAACCAATAAATATTTCTACAGAAAGCATTAGCTGGTAAGTTAACAACAACCACACTTTAAAATGTAGCTAACCTCTGCAAATCAAAATCCTAACTGTGAAGAAACTTGTGCAGGGATAGAGGTCTATGGAATGCAGACTTGGGCAGTGCTCTTGGAGTCAATCCAGCACAGGACCTGGCAGTGTCTCGAGTCATTTTACTACCTGTAACCATCTGGTGCGCCACTTCCAAATAAATGCTTCATTTGTCATAAATATACAATTCCAACTTAGGTGCTTTTAATAACTTTTAATAACAAAGCAAAATTAGAAATGTGGAGGGGGAATGAGTAAAACAAGACACAAAGAAAGAAACTTTAACCTAATCTCTCAGTAACTGACAGGGGGATGGGGAGTCAAGATGTGAAAGATTTCAACAGACTGAAAATTCCACTTACTGAACTTATACAGAGAACATCACAACATAGTACTGCAGAATATCCATTCACTGAAGCACACATCTATAAAATCTGATTGCATACAGGTTGGAAACTAAAGTCATAGAGCATAGTCTCTGAACATGCAGTTAGGCTTGAAATCACTAACAAAAGATAACCTACAGAATCCACACAAATTGAGAACTAAAACATACTATTATTTTGGTTGTATTGGGGATTGAACCCAGGACCTTGTGCATACTAGGAAAATGTTCTGACCCTGAGTCATATCCTAACCTAAGAAATAATTATCAGACAGACAGACAAAAATTATCAGAAAAAATGTTCTGTATCGGACAATAACAAAAACACTAACACACACACAATGCAGTGAAAGTGTTACAAAAGCAGAAAATGCAGCCTCGTGTAAACTTCACAAAAGCTGGAAAGCAATGAGTCATGTGCCCATCTATAGGCTGTGTTGTCAACTCATACAGACACAACACTACTGAGAACCTAAGAGGTGACTCATCAAAATAGAAAGGTACAGCAAATGGAGACAAACACTCCATTTTTGAAGCTTTATACTTCAATTTGCTAATTTTGTATTGGTTATATGCTAGAATTACTGAGTTACCTTTAACAGATTAATTTAGTGTGTGAGCATGTAGGTGGAAACACACACATTCGAGCACAGAAGGCCAGAGAACTGGTTTTCAGAATCAGTTCTCTCTACTGTGTGGGTCCAGAGGGCTGAACTCAGGTCCTTAGGCTTAGAGGCACCTTATTTGCTGAGTCATCCACCAGCCCAGCAGAAAGGATTAAAAAAAATCTCATCAAAATTCTGTTCTATTTCTTATTGTTTAAAATGGCTACTAAAAATGTTTCATTACATGTGGCACCTTTTTTATTTCTACTAGAAGAACTCAAACATAAAGAAAGGATCAAGGAGGTCCAGAGAAAGGGAAGGGAGCAATATTTAATGATGTAAACAATCTATGAATCTTTTCAATGATTTCTTTTCATATTGGTTCATTAGGAGTCACAGAACTGGCAACCATGTGACAAAACTAATCAAGAGAAAAAAACATAAGGGTTAAGACTCGAGATGAAAATGAGGACATTACTATATACCACATATCTTATGGTACCAACAAATGTTGCTACAAATAACTTAATAATATAAATAAAATGGTTAAGTTCCTAGAGAAAAAATATAACCTACAAAATGCACAAAAGATGAATTATTAAACAGAATTACCCAAGAACAATTAAAGAAACAAAAAAAAATTAATCACCTTTCAAAACTCTATTCAATGGCTTCAACAAATTCTATCAAACATCCAAGATGAAAAAGAACTAGAAAAAAAAAAAAACAAAACAGAAACCCTGTAATGTCACATGAATACCAACCAAGAACTGAAAAAAAAAAATCACTAACCTGTTTGATGAGGCAGTTTACAACACTGTCATTAAAAACAGGGACCCAGTGAGAACAGCTATCACCAAGAAAACATGACAACAAATGCGATGAGAATGTGGGGAAGAGGAACCCTTATTCACTGATGGTGGGAACGCAACCACTAGAGAGATCTGAATGCAGCTTCCTCCAGAGCAGAGCAGAACTACCACGTAACCCAGCGATGCCACTCTTGAGCACACAGCAGGACGACTCTGGGAACTGCATGTTTACTGCTGCACTATTTGAAAGACTCAGGAAAGGAACCAGTCTAGATGTTCATGGATGAATGGAAGAACAAACACTTCAGACAGTTAAAACAAGAGGGAAAACATGACATTTGCAGAAAATGGGTTGGAAACCATTATTAGGCTAGATAAATCAGACTCAAAAACACTTATTTTTCTCCCCTATAGAACCTAAATATAAAATTTTACATGTATGACTGTGCACAGGTGCATGTATGGGAATATTTATGTTTTGTGGGTCATAAAGCTAGAAAGGGGGTCCCTGAAAGTAAGGTGGGTTGTAGAGCAGGTAGTGGCATACACGTATAACAGGAAGCAGAGGGAACTAACTGGAGAATAGAAGAATCCACTGAGGCAGAGAGGGAAATGATTGAGAACAATGTGTAATGACACCTACGTATGAAGATGCCATGATGAAACCCATTACTTTATAACTTAAAAAGTTTTTACATTTAAAAACCAACAGAGATTTTTCACGAAACAAATTCCTGGCTACAGCTTGGGAATTTAGCTCAGTGGTAGAATAATGTATGAAAGTGAAAAGCCACTGGTGGGAGCAAAAATCACAAAGAATACCCCCACAAGGAAGTATGCCAGACTAATCTCATGAATCTGAATGAGAAATCTTCAACAAAATACAATCAAACCAAACCCAACAATATCTCCAGAATGCATCACGGCCAAGGTTGATTTTCACCAGGACTACAGGTTGTCTTAACACTAGAAAAACAGTAATGCAACTCACTTCATAATAGCAGTTTAAAGGGGAAAAATGCTAGGCTAATAATATGCCAAGAAAGGGTTCTCAGTATTCCATCATAATAAACATTTGGAAGAAATTTCCAAGAAAAATTACTATGCAACTTGAAAAGAGGATCTAGGAATCCCCCCACAAAGAGGTTGTAAAAGTTGTGTCTGAGCTGGGATGAGTCAGGCTTGCTCTTGCTTAGCATGAGATACACAGTGCAGTGGGGAAGTCAGAGATAAAAGAAAGCAGTCATTAGTCACAGACAGTGCACACCAGGCCGGGAGGCAAGCCAGCAGAATTTAACAGAGTCAGAGGGAGTAAGCTTTACTAGACACAGGTTAACATAGGAAAAGAATGGTCATCACACCTATAACAGTGATAACTATCACATAACAATGCTTAAACGTTTCCACTGGTAAGAACATTAAGAAATATCAATTACTTGAGAATAAACCTATCAAAAATACAGTAGCATCTGTGAACAAGAAGGCTACTGTAAAAATTTCCAAAGAAAAATTTCTATAAACTCCATTAATCAAATCAATCAAATCCCCAACAGATTTTTACTTTCCTTTTGGAAAAACATGATTCTAAGATCATACACACTGGAAACAGCTAAGAATATATAACTAACTAATGTGTCTTGGGCACTTAGAAAACCAGTATCAAACTGGACAAGCATCAGTACACTTTATCTACCAGATGCCAACAATGGACACTCAAGGACCATATGTAGAGACCAGAATGAGGCAACACTACATTCTGGCTACCAGAAGCCAATAATGGACACTAATGGACAACAATATGAGATCAGAACGAGACACCGCAATGCTTCATCTACCAGACACCAACAATGGACTAGCTTCTGTTCTCAAACCATACTTCAATTCTTGGTGGGATGAGGAAGAAAAACTGCTTGAGAAATACAGCCTAAGACCAAAATGAAGAACCAGCAAGGCATGACAATACATAAAGCAAGAGATCATGAAGTTACAGAGTATTCAGTTAATGCATTATATATGTATATGATATGAAACTGAGCAATAATTAATAATGTGGGAGTTGGAAAGATGCTCAGCAATTAAGAGTATTGGCTGTTCTTCCAGAGGTCGTGAGTTCAATTCCCAGCATCCACATAGTGGCTCACAACCATCTGTAATAGGGTCTGATGCCTCTTCTGTCATGCACGCACACATGCAAATAGAGCACCATATGTACAAATAAATCTTTTTAAAAAATGAATAATGTAAAATTTACAGTATCTTCATAGTATCAGAGCTCCCATTATGAATAAACTGTAATTAATAAAGACAACCGTGGGGGCTGGAGAGATGGCTCAGCAGTTAAGAGAACCAGCTGATCTTCTAGAAAACCTGAGTTCCATTCCAGGACCCACATGGTGACTTACAAATGTCTTTATCTTCAATCCCAGTAGATCTAATACCCTCTTCTGCCTTCAGTAGGCACCAGGTACCAAGTGGTACACAAACATACATGCAGGCAAAACACTTACATATACCATATACACAAATAAAAGTTGAAAAAAAAATCAGTGACTTACGAAGATTTTAAATTACTTCCAAATATCTCTGTGCTAACAACACAATGTTCACCAAAAAATTCGAGAATATTATGAATTAGCACTGTGGACTATTATCTCAATTAATTTTAAACAGTTATAAAGAAACTACTAGTTTAACAAGGACACAAATTCTACAATAAACAGTGTAACAGTTTATTTAAAATTAAGGAAACAGTTTAAAATTAAAAATATATTTCAGAAGAAAACTATTTCCCTCAAGAGAAGACCTAAACTCATTACCATCGTCAGTCCCTGTTATTTAAAGTACACACAAGTGTTCTTACCTGGAATAAGATCTGCATAGGTCAAGCTAACATATAAGATGCTGATAAGAACTTTATCAGCAAGTGGATCAAGAGCACTTCCCAAAGCTGATTTTTGATTGGCCCAGTTTCGAGCAATAAATCCATCCAACTGAAAATAGAAGTGTTTTTTAAATAAACATCATATAGGAAAGAATAGATAATTTGAAGCTTAAGAGACACCAGAAAAACAACTCTGCTTTCAGAAAATGCCAGCAAAATCTCATTTCTTATCCCCAAACATTCTTACTTCTTTAGCTTTTAAAGCAGCAATTATTTAAACAAAGTTCGGGATTATAGAACTGTTCTTTCTCCTCCAAGGGGTCCCACTGACTTCTCACTATTTCCACAATGTGCCCATGTGGGATAAACACAAGCATGGATGTAGAAATAGAGGCCCACAAAACTCACAGAAAGCATGACTAACAGCTGGGACTAGGAGTCTACTGTTTTGAGCCAAAATGGTTGTTGTTGTCTGGGAGGCCTACTTTTAAATTGTGAAACATTAACTTTCACATTCTGATCTGTTCTACTGTACTATGTGACTTTTGTGGGTTCTGTTTTTAAAAGCTTCATGCATGTGCATGCGTATGTGTACATGTGTGTGTGTGTGCATGTGTGCATGTGTGTGTCCACAGAGGCCGGAGGAGACTATCAGATCCTCTGGAACTGGAGTTATAGGCAGCTAGAAGCTGTCTGATGGTGGTACTGAGATTCAAATTCATGTCCTCTGCAAGAGCAGGAAGCACTTTATAGCTAAGCCATTGCTTTACCTGTTATCTAACTCAATTTTAAACTTTATTTTGTTCAGAGAGCTGGGGTATATTACAGGGAAAAGAGTGCTTGACTAGCTTTCTGTGAGGTCCTGGGTTTGATGACCTGCACCACAAACACACACACAAAGTAATAATTATGCATAATCACATGCACATAATACATATACTGTTCAGTAGCACTATTAGTTCAACAATTCAATGTTCCATGTTTGTATTACCTATATTTGAATGAACAACTTAATCCTCTGTACCTACCATAGTTAAAAAGTTAATTCTCTCTCCTCTCCCCCCCCTTTCTCTCTCCCCTCTCCCCCCCCCTTTCCCTCTCCCTCTCTCTCTAGGGTTTCACTACCCTGGCCGTACTGGAACTCACAGAGCTCCACCTGTCTCTGTCTCCTAAATGCTCCACCACACTCAGAGAATTACTTCTTCTATTACTTATTATGATTAGAAACAACATCTTAAAGCACAGATCATACTAGGGCCACTACAAGGATTGGATCCAGGTGCTGCCTAGTCACACTACAAAAGGCAGAAATGTCTGCCTTGCTTATCCTAGGCTCTGATGTATAGCACTTAATAGTTCAACAAAATCGATATTCTTATTTCTAAGAAAATGATAAAACTATGTGCAATTAAGCATGGTGCCCTTTAAAGACAAGTCCTCCATGTTGCAAGTACTCCAGTAAGTTAAAGGAAAAAGACAGAAAGACATACCCAGGAATGTTTAAGCAGTTGGTCTAGGCCTGAGGCTGTGGCTTAGGGCAGAACACTCACCTAATACACAAGGCCAGGGGATGACCCCTAGCGCAACAAAACAAAACCCACCAGCAACAACACAGACTCAACAGCAGAACAGACTGCTTCAGGTCCTTGCTCTGCACGCCCTCCTTGCATGACCTTGAACAAGGTGTTTGACATGGCTTTCTTCCTGCTTAGAACAGGTAACACCCCCCTACCTCAAAGCCTTGAATGCCTTCAGCACTTACGATTAATACTTGTTCAGTCTCTTAGCAAGTCCTCAAAAACGCAGTTACTAAATACTCCAATCACAACGACAACAATCAGCTTTCTTCTTATTCCCTGACTCTTTCTCCTCCCCTCACCCTGCAAATTTTTTTCAATTTTATCTATTTACTTACTTGTTCGTTCATTCATTCATTCATTCATTCATTCATTTTGAGGTAGGTTCCCTTACTTGGCAGGCAGGAACCTACTATGTAGACTTGACTGGTCCAGAACTTGCAGCCATCTGCCTGCCTTTGGTGCTGGGACTAGAGGTCTGCACCACCATGCCCAGCTATTTTCTTATGTGGATTGGAGGTAATGTTGACTAACAGTTGTCTATAATGAGGAACCAAGGCCTTCAAGACCCAGCTTTTGGTACAGTTTCTCTTCTTCACTTCCCACTTTTCGCCATCATCACTCTCCTGTCTTCACTATCCTCTAACTTACAATATTCCTTTGCAAACACCGCACTTCATTCCTCCCACAAATCAATACCATGAATTTCAGGTCCCGTGCAAGCGGCTATAAATGCTGCTCCCCAAAGTACAGAACCAGGCTGACTGATCTCATGAACGCATGCCAAGGCCTTCTGCAGACACAATGCCAGGTTATATCTACTGATAGTATTATCTTCTCATATGCCTTTATCCCTGACCTACTTCGTTCCTACCAAATGTTCCCGTTCTCGCCCACGGCCATGTCTATACTACCCTATAAGAAAACAGTAAAAAGACAACCAGTACTTCCCTATGTTGCACCCAATACACAGTCCAGCTGGACTCATCCCATTCCTCATTTTATTACTCAGACAATATAAAGTGTTCCCCAGTACACCTGTCTTTAAAACAACCCTCCCTTGGCCCTTTCTCTGCTCCCCTAAAAAGCAAAGTTTCCTTAAAAGCAGTGCCAGTCATTCCCCCCTCATTTGCTTACCAACCGAGGCCAACCACCCTCACACCTCTGGGAAGCTCTAGTGCAGATCACCAATGTGCTCTACATTTTTAGATTACGTGAGCTCAACACAATAGCATCAAGTTGTCATTTACTCTCTGGGACAAGCACTGCCCAATCTTCCCTTCTCACTACCCTAACATCCCAGCCAGGCTTCTGTTCTTTTACTTATTGCCTGGTTCTCCCTCGCACTTACTTTATTTACATCACTTAGATATTTCCTCTAATCAGCCAACTCCCAGTCTGTTGTCTTCTGCTATACATTACCACATTCAATTGGAAGAAACGGGTATCAGGATCCTGGTGTTTTCCCCTAAACCCTGTCCTGTCTCAAGTGCTCCCCACCCCTAGTACCTGATTTTGAAGTTGGGGACTGGGTGTGTGTGTTGGAGGGTGCCTCGGTGACCCTGTTTTACTCCCCATCCAACCTGTCCAGTGTATCAACATATCAATACTTTATTCAGAACATTATCTAAACCCACCCACTTCTATCTCAAAACTCCAACTCAGTCTAAGCTACTTCCTTCCTCACAAGCTGTTTGGCTTTCAACTCTGCTGGCCTAGAGCCTAGTGCCCACACAATCAGGTCCTGCCATCCCCCTGCTTAAAACCAGTGAGTGCGGGGGCACTCAAATCTCCATGAAAAAGTGCACAATATGGCACCAGTTAATTCTAGACACACTATGTCATACTTGGTAATGGGGTGTCTCTCTCATTCAATAAGGCCATTTCTTGTGGCAGTTGACCTCTACCCCACAAAACCCTCACAAATTAACAAATATAAAAGGTAAATCCAATGTCTAAAAAAAAAAGCCCAACTCTACTATCTAAAATATTTTATTATCAGTCAAATATTCTAGGACAAATTTTCAGGCCACACCAACAATGAGTGAAGAGACCTTCAGGCTTCAGAGAGACAAATAGAGAATGGGGACAGATGGTGACAAGAGAGAACTGCCGTCTGTGAAAGAAAAGCAAGAGCTCATGTGAAAGGCTAGATCTATCCGATGCACATCTAGACAATCTAAGTGCTCACCTCTGTCTACCTTCAAAGCCTTCAGCTGATTATACACTGATCACTAATGCTACTGTTACCAGATGATTATACACTGATCACTAATGCTACTGTTACCAGATGATTATACACTGATCACTAGTGCTACTGCTACCAGATGATTATACACTGATCACTAATGCTACTGTCACCAGGCAAGTATTGTCTCTGTGAACCACAGAAGAAAAAGCAACCGTTTTTAAAATGTTGTACACTCTTTACTGTTGGGAAATCAGTTTTCTATTCTCATTACACAAATATTGAGCAAAATGTTAAAAAAACAGGTTTGAAGACACATTTATCTCCGACTCAGGTGGAAACACATTTCCCAGCTTTTCCTGTATGCGAAAATACTGCTTCCATTTCCACATGCTCAACCTGCCCTGATCTCAAGTTTTTCCTCTGTCCTTTGCTTCTCTCAACTCTGTTTGTAGGTATGCAATTTTATAAGTCATTTCAAATCCTCTGTGAAAAGGTAGATGATGAATACAGTCATGTATGATGGCTAGTCAGCAAAAGCAATAGAGCCTTCTACCATGGAATTGTTTCCCATTTCTCATTTGATATCATACTCCCAAACCTGACAAGAGTGATAGCAAAGAGTTCCTTTCCTTGTCCATGTGCTGAGGAAGTGGGAAAAGAATGCCAAATCCCCCCCTTAAAGCAAGGCTCTCACTGCACAGCAGTCACAGGTGTGTGGCCAAAAGACGGCCTCCTAGCAGAACCTGGCCTGCAGCAGCTCCTAGACTACATCCCCTCCACTCTCCCTGCAGACTCTTCCCTTCACAGTAGACACAAGAGTTCCAGACCTTCTCTTCATTCCACCTCTACAGCAAGCACTCAGCTCTGGAACATTTCTACTGTTGTTTCTTTTCTTTTCTTTCTTTTTTCTTTTTGGTTTTTCAAGACAGGGTTTCTCTGTATTGTTTTGGAGGCTGTCCTGGAACTTGCTCTGTAGACCAGGCTGGTCTCAAACTCACAGAAATCCGCCTGCCTCTGCTTCCCTCCCGAGTGCTGGGATTAAAGGCGTGCGCCAACGCCCAGTGGTTGTTTCATTTTTGAAGAAATTAAAAACAGGTAGGGTAAAGATTACCCTCCCCTATGGCTTTCCATGAGCTTTACACTTGTAGATCTTTATAATCTTTTCTAGATCTTTTAGGTCTTCTAAAAGCAGTTCCACATGGACACTAATGACAAGTCTTTACACAAGGACTAAATCACACTCATGCTGAGGACATCCTTCCAGGAAAGCTAAGGCTGTGCTCCAGGGGAGTTATAGATAGTGTGGGATTTGGAAGGGAACAAAAAGCAAACATATTCATAACTTACCAAATCTGTTAGCCCAGCTAAAGCAAAAACACCTAGCGCAATATTAAAATCTTCTTCAAGAATCAGATAGCCCAACACAGGGGCCAAGCCAATTCTTGTCATCGACAACATATTTGGGATTGTCCATGGATTTTCATACTGAAAGACAAAGACAGCACAATTTGAATAAAATACTACAAATTCATACTTTAAATACATGGAAATGGAGAGTTCTGAAAATCTTTCCGAAGCACTCATGGAGACGTCGAGACACTTTCTCCTCCCTCAAGTAAAAAACTGGGGGCGTATTCACGGCTCCCACTTAGAGTTTTGATTCCTTGCAACGTCATCTGGAGCCAAGTTGTTAGAAACTGGCACTGACAAAATGGCTCCTTGGCAGCTGCCCTGAAGGACAACCCTTCTTTGCCAAACAGAAAATTCATGAGAGCACTTCAACTTTAAAACTCTTCCACCTAGCAAAGCTAAAAAAAAAAAAAAATACCCTGTACCACATGGTACAGAAATAGCCAGAAAATGTCTTTCCCTGGAGCCTGAACTATCTTCTCATTAGTCGGGAAAGCCGATTCAACCCACTGGACTTTGTCTTCAAAGAACCATTTTAACATCTTTTTAAATCAGTAACCAATTTGCTTGAACCTTAACCTTTTTGGAAAAAAAAGGGGAGGGGCGAGCTGGTGAGCTCAGCAGGTATAGATACTTGCTGCCAACTCTTAACCTGAGCCCCAGAACACACGGTAGAAAGACAGCAGACACTCCAGGGAAGTTGCATGTGTTCATAGCAAGTATGTGTGCACACACCAAAGGCAAAAAGTGGCAAAGCTCATTTCTCAAGATATCTTAAAATCTCCTGAGCCACCTACCTCATAAGAAAAGACTATTTTATAAACAGAACCCAACAGAAAGCATACCAGTGTAGATGGATAATGGAGTGGTTGTTGGAGTCAGGTGACAGAATACTGACACTGAAAATTGTAGAACTTCAAATTCTACACCAAATCAGAAGCAATACAGCCCTCTTTTCTGGAAACTTCTATTCACAGAAGGACCACATTAGAAAATTGTATGAAAACATGCTCATTTACACCGAGGTTCAAAATATCAGACTATTTAGTGTCAGGCTGTTGAGACGGATCAGGCACGCTGTCCTGATATTTGTACACTGTGGTACAAAGTCAGTCACTGGCCCAATATCACAGCAACTCACAAAAGGCTGGAAAGAGAGGAAGGCAGCCAGTGGTTGAGGAGATGTGATACTAAGCCAAAGCCAGGAATGCAGAGATCCAGAGTCGGTCTGACATACCCATGAAGCAAGACTGCCGAGAGAGCTGCAGTCTCATCACTTCCGGTGGCAAACACACAACTACAACTGGATGGTTAGCTCCTGGGCCGTGAAGGGTTCGAGCCCTACAGAAAGCTCACTAACAGCTAGTTATGCCACCGGTAACAGTCCACCCTGGGAAAGCTTAATCTCAGATTACCCAACCAGATAACCTGTGGCATACTCGGCCAACTGTGCTGGGAAGGGCTTCAGCCAGGTTGAGGGCCACTTCCAAGCATGCAGCGTTCAAGCTCCGACAGGCTTTAAAGCTATTCCTGAAGTTGAGACCCCTGCCGGGGTGTGGCCACCTCAGCCCATGCTGTGTAACTGATGAGAGCAGAGCAGTACAGTGGCCTCTGAAGACCTAACAATTGAAGATGTAATAATTGCATGGGCTTTGCTAACATGACATCAAAAGCTCTGGTGACTCCTGCCTGGAGTTTATTTTAGCAGGTGAGGTGGACAAATAACTCCTTTTGTTTCATCAGGAATACTCTTAAGTTTTCAATGATACAAAGTTTAAAGATCTCTCCATCACAAACTAAGCTAAGTATCCTCCGTGTTACTGTATACGATGACCAAAGGCCAAAGAATTACGAACCAAATCTGCACAAGCGAACAGGAGGACCATTCTTAAGATGCCTCCGAACTTACGATACGCTGAAGATTCACTCAGAAAAGCTAAAAATAGACTTTTAACTAGACAAATGATAGCTATTTTTACCAATGCAGCATGCAGACACACCTTCCAGCAACGGGTGTAGACAGAAGGGGATTAGAGTGGGTTCTAATTTGGCCAGAGACCGTACCCAGCTGGGGCCCCCGAAGTTCACGGCGACCGAACGCCCCGCCTGCCCGTAACTTCCCAGAACACCGGGTGAGTGTCGCGACAGAGCGCCGAGCCCGTCACCTGCGTCCCGGCGCTCTGCCGACCCTCGTACGTACCGAGCTGGCGGCGCTCGCCGGGACCCACCGGGCGCCCGGGGCCTGCGCGGTAGCGCCTCCTCCGGCCGCCGGCCCCGGGGTCGCCGCCTTCCCCGCGCCCGAGCAGTGGTTCCGCGGGCCGGCGCCGGGCAGCCGCAAGGCGAACGCGGCCGGGCGCAGCCGCCAGCGCTCGGCCAGGCAGCCCAGACAGCAGGCCGCGGGCGGCAGCAGGGCCCTGCGGGAGCCGCCCCTGCCGAGCCGCGCCCCCGGCGGCCGGAGGGCCACGCGAAGGGGCCCCCACGCGCAGCGCGCCACGCGCCAAGCCAGCATGGCCTTGCGGCCGCCGGGGACTCCAAGCGTCGAGAACTCAGCAGCCACGGGCGCCCGCCGCCAGCTTCTCCACAGAAACTAAGCAATGCCAAGGCCGCAAGGATGTCTCCATACTAATTTCCACACTCCAGACGTCCCGCTTATACAGGTGGCCCGGAACCGTCAAGGAAAGCCGCTTTCACGACACTTTCACGACACCCAGCAGCTTGGCTCCCCCGCGCCCCCTGGCGGTAGCGGCAAGCCTGTGCCGCTAAGGCCGCCGGGCCCGTGCGCGGCGCAGCTCGCTCGCCTGCAGGCTAAGCAGAATGACAGGGAGGGAAGGCCTTGAGCGCGTGCCACGTGGCCACAGGAAGCCAGTCATCTCAGGCCCAGAAACGTCTGGTGCCAAGTGGCCCGCAGGTGTGTGTGGCACTCTATGACCACTGGAGGAGTTTTAAAGTATTAGTGTTGGAATGAAAGTATTAAGTACCTACCCTGTTTGTGGAGCACATTATGGATAGGTCCAAAGAAGCAATGAAAATGTCAATTATAGCAATCACTATTTACTTGGAAAAAGTGTTTACTGTGTAAGCTATTGTGTATTTAATCCTAGTAACAACTCTAACATAGATTCTCTTATTGCCTTTTCTTTTATAGGTATGGAAATCGGTGTACAGAAGAAACTTTTTTATAGTTTTTGAAATTTTTATTTTATGTGCATTGGTGTTTTGCCTGCATGTACATCTATGTGAGGGTATCATATACCCTAGAAAGGGAGTTACAGACAGTTATGAGCTGCGATGTGGGTGCTGAAAACTGAACCCAGGTCCTCTGGAAGAGTAGTCAGTACTATTAACCACTGAGCAATCTTCTCCAGGACCAGAACTTGTTTATTCTTAAGAAATCCATACTAGTAACAAATCAGTTCACTTGTTCTAACAATGAGCCTGTTGTTATAAATAACACATTCCTGGCACGTTGGTTTCCTAACCTTACAAACATGTTCCTACCTTTTTTAGCATTGGGCTTGAACCCAGGGCCTTCCCAGGCAAGGGTGATACCATAGGAAGGGCACCAAGTCCCTGTCAAACCCGCACTGGACAGTTTTGCCGTCTTTCCACTATACTCCTTCAGCCACTCTGCAAAAGCATGCAATCACCTTAAGGTTGTTCTTGAAGCTCAGATTAAATTTGCCAATTATAGATTTGAGGAGCATTTTTACCAAGATCATTTTTAATTTTTTTCCTTTCTTTTCTTTTTGAAAACAGAATCTTTTTGTGTGGCCCTGGCAGCCTGGACTTGCACTCGGAGATTTGCCTGACTCTGCCTCCCGAGTGCTGGGATTAAAGGTGGGCACTACCGTGTCCAGCTATCTTTAACTTTTTTAGAGGAAAATCTAGGGACCAGAGAAATGGCTCAGTGATTGAGAGTATTGGTTGCTCTTCAGAAGACCCAGGTTAGATTCCTAGCACCCACATGGTGGTTCTCAACCTAACTCTAGTTCCAGGTGATCTAATGCCCTCTCTGTCCTCCATGGGAACCAGGCGCACACATGGTACAGACATAAGTTCAGGTAAAACATTGAAAATCAAGAAAATGTTTAAAAACCCATACGTGTTAAAAAGAAAAATCCATACGCATTAAAAGAAAATCTAAAGATGTAATTTTAGCAATGTTAAGACTTTGTTTTTAAGGTACCACTAGAACCATTCATCTGTTTCTCAGAAACTTTGGATAGCCCTGGTGAGGATGGGCAGGAGGAAGGAAGGCAGAGACCAGAGCGTCTGTAACGAGACGATGGTAAGAGGAGAGCGAGCAGGGGATGAAACACATGGGCTGGAGGGTTCCTAATTTCGTTGGAGTTACAAAAGCTGGCTGGCCTGACAATATACACAGCTTTAGCTTGTTCTGTGATGTTTGACTCGTTACTCTCTGGGCTTTTAAGGGGACCCATCGCCCAGCTCCTAAATAAACCATATAGAGGTTTATTCTACTTATGAATGCCATACACAGAGGTTTATAATGCCTGGCTTGTTTCTAGCCAGCTCTCCTTATCTTCTATTATCCCAACCATCTTTTGCCTCTGGGACTTTCCTTTTCTTCTGTATCTTGCTTTCACTCACTCTTACTCCACAGCTGGCTGGGTGGCTGGCCCCTGCCATCCTCCTCCCCTTGTTCTCTCATTGCTCTCCCTTTCTTCCAGATTTCTCTTCCTATTTATACTCTGCCTGCCAGCCCCACCTATCCTTACTCCTGCTCACTATTGGTTGTTCAGTACTTTATTAGGACCACCAGGCATTTTAGACAGGCAAAGAGTCACAGCTTCACAGAGTTAAACAATACAGAAGAAACAAAAGTCACACACTTTCCAGTAATCCCCAACATTAGCTATTTTATTTGGTTTTTTGAGACAGGGTTTCTCTGTGTCAACTCACTACACAGATCCGGCTAGCCTCAAACTCAAGATGTCTACCTGCCTCTGCCTCCTAAGTGTTGGGATTAAAGGTGTGCACAACCACCCAACTTGCAGCTGTTTGCATGGTCCTGTGACAACAGATACCAATAAATACAGAATATAAGAAAACAGCAGTTTCTCCTCATAATTAGGCTTACATCCCCTTATGTAATAGTCTTAACCTTAGATATAACAGTCTGATAGGCCCATCTTTCCTTTGAATGGTTACACATTTCATCTTTCTCTTTTATGAAAAGCTACTATGCACTGACTTTTCTGAAATAGGCTTTTAGCTCTATTAGCAGATTATCAACAGTTCTTGTCCTTTAACACTTTAGGCTTGGCAAGGTGGTGCTCACCTTTAATCCCAGCACTCAAGAAGAAGAGACAGGCAGCTCCCTGAGTTGTGGGTCAGCCTGGTTTACAAAGCAAGTTCCAGGACAGCCAGGGCTACACAGAGAAACCCTGCATTAAAAAACAAACAAAAAAAATCGCAACTGATGAAATGGCTTAACTGATGAAGGTGCTTGCACTAAATGTGACTTCGTTCTCAGGGCTCCACAAGAGCACTGTGACCACCCACTGCCGTCCTTCCCCAGTAAGGAAACGAGGGAAAAAAGACTCTTCTAAAGGCAGACACCATATAGGGCTACAGATACAGTTCAGTGTCCCTAGGTTCAGTTCACCACATTACTATATTTATACTAACATCTGCCATTTGCTTTCTAAAGTCAAGCTTTAATATTTTTTATGGTATTCTGTGGCATATTATCCCCCATTTCATTTTCACTTTGGATGTACTATTGTTTATTCAATGTACTCTGCCATTTGTGTGTGTGTGTATACACACACGTGCACACGCGCATGTGCATATAGGAGTTCAGGAGAAGAGGTTGACACTGAGGTCTTCACCCTCTGAGACCTGCGTGTTTATGAACTGGAGCTCACTAGTTCAGGCTGGCCAGTAAGCTTCAGGGATCTGCCTCTGTCCAGTGCTAGGGTTACAAATCCTCCTGGCTTTACAAGAGGATCTGAGTTTAGGTTCTAATGCTTGTTCATCAAGCTTCACCAACTGAGCCATTTCTCCAATCCGGTTTTGGGTATATTTAGCTGCTGTGGAATATTCCTTTACACCATGAAGATATGTCACTATGATTGGTTTAATAAGACGCTAGATGGCCAATAGCAAGGCAGAATTTTTCAAGGCAGAGAGAACGCTGGGAAGAAGGTGGAGTGCAAAGGGATGCAGATGAGCAGGATGGGCTCTGTGGAGATGAGGTAATAAAGCCATGAGGCAGAAAAGTAAATTAACCGAAATGGGTTAAGTTATAAGAGCTCGTTAGAAATAAGATTAAGCTGCTGGGCATTGGTGGTGCATGCTTTTAACCCCAGCACTTGGGAGGCAGAGGCAGATGAACCTCTGTGATTTCGAGGCCAGCCTGGTTCACAGACTATTTCACAGAGAAACTGTCTGAAAAGAACAAAAAAAACAAGATTAAGCCAAGCTTTTGTAATTAATAAGAAGTCTCCATGTCATATATTTGGGAGCTGGCTGATGGGACAGAAAAATCTGCTTATATTTTGTGTTTTCAATTTTTCATCCATCCATTTTCCAACCAGTGGCTCTCAATGCCTGAGCACTTATGTGCTACAGTGTTTGCTGGTTACAGATACAGTGTTTTAACTGGAGGTCCAGTTCCACTTGAAGCTCTCCCAAACATGGTGAATTCTGACCTTATGGATCCTGCCCCATTGAAGCAGACCTCAGGAAACTCCCCAGCATGCAAATCCAGCTTTTCAAACCAACATTTCTTGATGTGCTTTCTCGTCTGAACTCGGAAGGCAACAGAAGGAGGGTGATGAACAATGTTCTTTGCTGCCGCCACCTTCTGCAGAAGCCATTCCCGGTACAGAATGGCATCCATGCGACACAAAGGTGGGAATGCTTTAGCCACTGTGGCGGCGGCAGGCTAGTTTTACAAACTACCCCTGGGGAGATTTTCTTGTTTCATTTAGTCATCAGTCTTCATAGAATTCTGTAGACAGGTATTATCCAGAAAGGACTTCTACTTATGCCACCAAATTTCTACTACTTCAAATGAAAATCCGAGTGTGCCCCACCGCCCCATAACCATAAGGTTAGAAACAATAAAGAGCTTTTATTTGTGACCTAAGCATTTTATGGAATTCAAAGTTTAATGCTGTACATAAAGTTTCATCAGAACACATACTCATTTGTTTATGTATTATCTGAATGCCTGATAGACACCTGATATACAAAACTATGAAACACTGATAAAAACATGACAAGAAGTATAAATAATGCTTATGTTACTAGATAAATATAGACAATTTAATTTTAATCTTCTGGATAAATTATGAATTATTAATGTACAATTTCACCACTTCTCAGCTGACCATAACTAACACCTTTTTCCTGTTTTAGGAGCTGTGTGTCATCTTTCAGAACTTATTTCAGTTTTAGTAATTAAGACGCTTTTGAGCTATCAGTAAACCAGAGGTGGCTTTTATGTGGTAAGTCTGTCACATAGTCTGAAGTTGGTAAATCTTTGGGCCTTTTTTTAAGAGGTAACCCTGGTCATTCAGTGATCCGATGAAGTTTTCAAAGTCAGCAACCTAGAAGCAAACACTCACAGTCAGCCCAGTAATTCGCCAAACGATATACACCCAACAAGCTTCTCTGGCAAATAAAATAGGATATGCTTCCTACAGCACTCTGAACAGCAAAGAATTCCAACTTGGACTAGCTTTTGAAATTGCACGACCTTACATCTGAATTTCCATTAGAACGCTGAAGTAGGAGGAGCAGGTGGGATCACATCAATTCAACAGATGAGAAATCAGTCATCACTATGGCCAGCATAGGACAGTCAGGGAAAAAACAGAGCCCAAGTCTTTCCAGAAAAGTCACTCTATCAAAATGTCAAAAACCACATGCTTTTAATCCCAGCACTCGGGAGGCAGAAGCAGGCAGATCTCTGAGTTCAAGACTAGCCTGGTCTATAGAGTGAGTTTCAGGACAGGCTCCAAAGCCAACAGAGAAACGCTGTCTCAAAAAACAAAACAAAACTCCAGAAACCCTTGAGAATTGGTAACAAAGAATCTTAAAACTAAAGAGTGCTTTTGTTTGCCAGGTATGGTTTCGCTCACCATTAATCCCAGTACTCCGGAGACAGAGGCAGGTGGATCTGTTGAGTTCAAAGCCAGCCTGGTCGATAGAGTAGCAGGACAGCTAGGGTTACCCAGAGAAACTGTCTTGAAAAACAAACAGTGGTTTTGTTCTAATAATAGAGACCCTCTGAAATTATTATAAAAAACTGTTAAGTATTTAAGTTATTATACCTGAATGTTCAGTTCTTTGGCAATCTGACGAAGTTGATGAAATTGAAATATATTATTATAAGTTCTTTCAGCAATGCTGTTGAGAGCAGAAATAAATCTTTTTGCTGTTGACCTATTGCTCATTCCAGAGCCGTGCTGGGATCGCTCAAAATCCAGGTTCCCAAATTCATCTGAGTAAGTTCCTAGCATGCTTCAAGATGAAGAAGAAAGGATTATCTCATGTAGCATGGCTACAGATATTTTTGGACTAGGCTTCCAAGTTATAACTATCACATGCCTGCAATCCCTGTACTCAGGAGCTAAGGCATAAAACTTCTTGAGTTTAAAGACATCCTGAAATATATAACAAGTACCAGGGCAGGTAGGGCTATGGAAGGAGATTCTATCTCAACCAAAACGAATTTGTTAACATGAAATGAAAACATGAAGAGTTGAAAAAATATTATAAATATCAAAACATTCTTTCTGATTAATAAAACTAATTTCTAACACAATATTTTCAGCTTTCCCAGGTAAACATGTATCATTAACTACCACAGCATCTGCAAAGAAAAGATGCTTAACTCTAGGGGGGCTGGAGAAATGAGGACTCAGGTTTAAGAGCAGCCACATGGCAGCTCACAAGCACGTGTAACTCCATGGCATTCCATTCTCTCTTCTGGCCTCTGAAGGCACTGTGCATATGGTACAGAGATATGTGCAAGCGAAACACCCACACCTGCTGTGGAACAATCTTTGTACACTGTAAATACGTATTGCTCTCACTAGTTAAAAAAGAGCTGACTAGCCAATAGCTGGACAAGTAGAGGTTAGGTAGGACTTTCAGACAAAAAAAGAGTGCAAAGAAGAAAAAGAGAGAAGTCTCAGGAGTCGTGAGAAGACACAGAAACAAGAGGAAATTGTTGTGGTGAAAAAAGGTACCACTACCTGGTACAGTGTAGATAAGAAATATGCGTTAATTTAAGTTATAAGAACTAGTTAGTGAGAAACCTTGTCTCGAAAAAGCCAAACAAACAAACAAACAAACAAACAAAAAAACTAGTTAGCACAAGTCTGAGCTATCGGCTGAACATGTATAGATAATAACAGATCTCTGTGTGGTTATTTGGAAACAGAAAAGTTTAACTACACATACCCATAAAAAAAATCTGAAAAACAAATACTCAACTGAATACTCATGCTGGACTTGGCAGTGATGACAGACACTAACCTCACTTCTGTTTTCTCTTTTTTACAGTATCACAAAAAAAAAGGGGGGGGGGGAGGATAGGTATCTGACAGTGAGTTTTGGCTGGAATCTGCAAACACCCATTAAAGATATTATTAACCACCCTGTAATCCAGCTCTACTGATGATTCCATGTATACAATGGGACACATAAAATCCCACAGCCTGTTTAACAGGTGAAGTTTTGTACTTGGGAATTATCAAATATGTATTGGTCACCTGTTAGGAAGTGGTAAACAAATCTAATCACTGTTCGTTCTTAAGGAGTCCTTAGAAATGATCTTGAAATGTCACAATCTGTTCCTTGAAAGGTCACAAACTGGCAAACAAAAATGCGTATCAGTCAAGTAAAACAGGTGCAAATTATTTACTACCTTCAGCTTTAATTCACCTGAATTATGTAATGAATTAGTGTTCCCTTATTGTCAAAGTTGCTCTGAATTACTAACATGGTAATTGTGCTTATTTACCACAGGCGGCATCCTAGTAACATTATGCCCTGGAATTATCCTTATTTCATTTTACAGATGAAGGCAGTTTTGGCAAGTAAGGATGAATGACGTTCTAGATGTTACACAACTAATGAGTTACAACTGGAATTTTAATCCATGCTTTTTTGCTTCCATTTGAAAAAAAGATACACAAATTATTTGACATACTCCCCTGAAATGGAAAAGCTCACAGCAAACTAGTCTCAGCAGGCAGCTTACTGTTCCTAGAATATTTTCAATTGTGTAAGAATACTCACATAACAGCCAGGTGTTGATGGCGCACGCCTTTAGTCCCAGCACTTGGGAGGCAGAGGCAGGTGGATCTCTGTGAGTTCTAGACCAACCTGGTGTACCAGAGCTAGTTCCAGGACAGCCTCCAAAGCCACAGAGAAACCTTGTCTCCAAAAATAAACAAAAAACAAAAACAAAACAACAAAATAAGAATGCTCACATATAAACTGTTTACAAAATAAAAACATTTACTTTTCAAAAAATGTCCAAGTATGTATTATGCTAACTCAGATGAACTATGTCAAGATTCAGATTTTTCTCGCTCAGGCTTCTGCTTCCTAGTTAATGTAATTTCACAGGATAACACATTAATGGTGGTTTTAATGACGCAGAAGAGACAGGAACTATAAAGGGGGAAATTTTTTTAAAGAGTATACTTTAATTAATGAATTAACAAAGTATGTTTCATACCACGTACTAGCCATGATTGTGGGCCCTAAAAAGACACTGGAATAAGGTCCTTGCTCTCACAGACTAAGAAAGCATGTTAGTTCTAACAGATAGGAACTTGATGTGTCTAACCAGCTCTCAATGTCTGATAGTACTAGGTAATCCTAGCCACTTGATCAAACTATTCTCTCCCCTTGTGGCGGACACACTGAATTAAAGAGAGCTTCTCTTTCCACAGACTGCCTATAAGAGCAGGGAACAAGCTGCGGGTTATTGCTCAAGCCTTAGGGAGCAGCAGGGTGCCATTCTACCCATAATCAGAGAGAAGCGGCCACAGTGAGGCCAGAACCATAGTGAACATAAGCAAAGCAATGTGAAGCCTCCCTATTGGGAAGGGAGAAGTGATCAGCACAACACTCCTGAACAATTACAAGGACAGCACAAGTGCTAGACCCTAAAATGAGGATGGGAGAGGGAGGTGAGAAAGAAAAAGAGAAAGGGAAAAAATCATTCCTACAGAAATTAAGGGGCCAGCAAGATGATTGAGCAGGTAAAGGCATTTGCCAGGTCTGACAATCCCTGGAATGTAAATGGAGAAAGGAAAAACCTGACTTTAGTTGTCCCCTGATGACCACAGTGTGTATGCACTGCCCCCCATCCATAAAGGTAAAATTAGTGTTAATCGTACCTATGTTTCATAATTTCAATTATATCTTCAGCATCTTCTTTAGTTGCTTCCTCTCTCAATTCTAACCTTGCTCGTGCCTGTGAAAGAAAACAACCATTTAAAATAAATGATAAACATTGTCACCATTATGTGTGAAGGTGTGTTGTATCTAAGCTTAATTATTCATTGTATGGGGAGGACTGGGTGTGAGCACATCACAATACACTGTATGCATATGTGCAATTCCCAAAGAATAAAGATGTGTTTAAAATTAGACAAGAGTACAAAAAGCTTAAAAGATAGCCAAAATTTACTTTTCCCTACTAACATTCTTTCTGAGTGTTCATTTCATGAGGTTTGGTTATGAAAATGTTTTTGTCCTTGCCTTTTATTTTCAGGAAATCACAGTTTATTTGAACTAAAACAACAGAGGGGTCAATTATATTTCAGGATCAAAAGAATCTTACCATCTGTTGCAGCTAATTTAATTGCAGCAGTACTCAGAGTACTGTGCAATGTGACAAACAGTGCTGCTAATGGCTGCCTACGCCTACAGACCTGTCACATAATCAAATCAAGTGACCAAGACACTCGACACATTTCATGTTCCCATATGCTCAACGTGCAAGCCCTGGATTCTAGGTCATTTAACCACTGTTCAGATACCCCAGGAATCGACAGTGTCATTAAAAAAATTGACACTGCTTGGCAAAACTGGTCCTATGCCTAGAAAGAAATCTTCTAAAAAAAACCATTTATTCATCCTTTTAAATTTTTTTTTTTTTTTTTTTTTTTGGTTTTTCGAGACAGGGTTTTTCTGTATTGTTTTGGAGGCTGTCCTGGAACTCGATCTGTAGACCAGGCTAGCCTTGAACTCAAGAGATCCGCCTGCCTCTGCCTCCCGAGTGCTGGGATTAAAGGTGTGCACCACCAATGCCTGGCAAATTTTTTTAATGTCTTCTAGACAACAGTGAAGAAAACTGATCAAGGAGAAATCATAGTGTCTCACACACACACACACACACACCACACACACACAAGCAACCTCTCTTACAGTACTGGAGACAACCTAGAACTTGCACACCCTGAGCAAGCACTCTAGACCACTGAGCTACCATCACCTCTATGTTGATTTTTGAGACATGTCTCATACTAAGTAGCCTAGTCTGGCCTTAGACTCACTCTGTGGTTCAGACAGGCCTTCAATTTGCAATCCTCATGCCTCAGCATCCTGAGTAACTGAGCTTACAGACTTGTGGCATCATACTGAGCTCCTCCCTTCTTCCTCCAGCCACAAACAGCATAAACATAGGAAACTCAAACCTCTGTCAGACGGATCAAAGATTCCAGCTGCCGGGTGGTGATGGGTGAGCTGCTCATGCGCTGGCTCTGCTTGCGGAGCTCCAGATAGAAGTCCTGCAGAGCCTGAGCAGCTTCTGTGGATAGCTTTGGGTGGACATACTGCCGTGCATAACCAACGTACTTCCTCAACAGCTGATGTGGAATCGGATCTGTCGTCTCTCCAGGAGCCACCTAGAGTAGTATTAAAAAAAATGGCTAAAAAAGTTAGCTTGTTTGGGTAAATAAAAAAGTCCCGAAAACTTCTCCAAATAAACCAAACACTATGTATAGTTACAGTTCTCAATTCAATCACCTTAGCTCAATGGTTTTTAACCTTCCTAATGCTGCAACCTTTTAATACAAGTTCCTCATGTTGTGGTGACCCCCAACCATAAAATTCTGTTGTTGGTACTTCATAACTAATTTTGCTACTGTTAAGAACTGTATGTCAATTTCTGATATGCAGGATATCTTCTCAGTAGACTCTGTCCCCCTGGTGCAGTTCCTGTGTCAGCCCCTGTTGCCCACCCTGCCCCAGCCTCCACTGACTGTCCCAAAGGGGGAGGGGGACACCTGCTAGCACAGGTGTCCTATGGGTATTATTCATCAGATATGTAACCCTACAGGGGTTTGAGAACTACTGCCTTAGGTGATTCCAAAGGACTATGTAAATGTCTAGGGAATAGGAGGAAGGTGGATTTTATTGGGGTGGGTGGGTAAAATGCTGAGGATTATATCTAGAGCCCTGTATAATGCTAAGCATATGCTACACCACTATGACACATTCCCAGCCACCTTCACACATGGAATTCGCACATTTAAGTACAATGAAACTAAATGATTAAAAAAACAGGTATACCTTTAATCTTTCTGATAATGGTTTCTCAGAAACCACTTCAAGTACAGAAGTATTTGAATCTTGACTGAGCGCACGAGCTACTGTGGCACTGCTAACAGCTCTCTGCTTCCCAGCTCTTATTGCAATCACATGTTCAGAAAGTAAGTGGTCATGCTGCTCATTCGGCGTATCTAACAAGATAAAGACCAAATCGAATCTGGACAGTAGGGCACTCCCCATCCTAAGAAGCAGGGAAGAAAGAAGCAGCAATGTTTGAATCAAAACAGAAAAGCCTAAGGAACTGTTTACTTGCTTACTAGTTCCATGTAGAACTTTAGAACAGTCAAGCTTTAGGTTAAAGAAATAAGTTGTTAGTACAGCTACATGTTCCAACTCACCACAGGCATGACAGCTGTATTTATTTAGGCCTGGCAGCTGTACAAATGGTCTTTCCTCATATAACAAAGTCACTGAGATCCATATGATATCACTGGCAATGCTCATGTGCACAGAGGCTATCATCACTGATTTCACAGCTCTCTCCTATGATTTTTTTCTTTCACGTGTAGGAGTATTTTGTCTACATGTGTGTCTATGCATGTAGGTGTGCCTAGTGCCTGTGGAAGTCAAAAGAGGATGGTGGGTACCCTGGACCTGGAATTAAGGATGGCTGTGAGCTGCTACATGGGTGTTGGGAACCAAGCCCAGGTCCTCTGCAAGAACAACATGTGCTCTTAACTGCTGAGCCATTCCTGCAGCCCACTTACTCATGGCCCACTTAAATGCAACGGAGTAAAGATGCCACATTCTACTTAGGCATCATACTCAGTCAATCAGGAACTGTTCCTATTTGAAACAAGAAAAATCAACCTAGAATCTGAAGAATTTGATGAAACCACCAAAGAATGCTTGTGCTAAAAGCAAAACCAAGTCATCTGTAGGTTTTGTTCAACAGGATTATACAGACTTTATGAAAGAGAATTTCATTATTTTACTAAGGAAATTCCACTAGTAGAAGAGTGACTTCACTGGAGGCAGTGATAAACACACTTTAAATCTCCAAGTGCAATTGTGTTTTATTTTTTACTTTTAAAATGTGTCTTTAAATTTGTATGCATATATATATGTGTACCATGAAGCACATGTGGTTCTGGATTGAACCTTTACCTATTGATCTTGTTGGCCTGACGATTTTTATTTTAGATGTATACATGTCTTAAATAGTTTATTTATTATTTTTGGTTTTTTCAAAACAGGGTTTCTATGTGTAACCCCGGGTATCCTGAATTCACTCTGTAGACCAGGTTGGCCTTGAACTCAGAGATGCACCTGCCTCTGCCTCCAAAGTGGTAGGATTAAAGGTGTGCACCACCACCACCCGGCAAAATTTATTATTATTATTATTGTTTATTTATTTATAATTACTCTTTTTTGGACAGTGTCTCACCATGCAGACCAAGCTGGCCTCAAACCCATAGAAGATCCACCTGCCTTTGCCTCCCAAGTACAGGGATTAAGGGTATGTGCCACCACTCCCAGCTCAAGATGTGTAAATTGTTTAACATTAGCTGTGGACAGCATCACATACCTGTAGCTTCTAAAGACTAGAGAAGACAGTAGAAGATAGAAGAAGGCAGCAAAGGGTCACTTAAGTCTATGTTTAGGATAAAAAATGAGTAACATAGTGAGATTCCTCATCTCAAAAGCAAGGGGGATGGAGAGGAGCTGGAGAGATGGCCCAGCACCCACAGCCCTCACAACTAGTTACAGGGGGATCCAACACCCTCTTCTGACACGTAGACGAAACACCAATACACATAAAATAAAAATAATAAATCTTTAAGAAAATGTAAATTTAAAAAAAGAAAGAAATAAGCTGTCCCCAACTACATGTAAGGCCCTACTCTTTCTGGAGGTACTCTGTCTTCTCACTTTTTTTGGTTTTTTTTTTTTGGTTTTTACGAGACAGGGTTTCTCTGTATTGTTTTGGAGGCTGTCGGTCCAGCCCGGCCTCGAACTCACAGAGATCCGCCTGCCTCTGCCTCCCGAGTGCTGGGATTAAAGGCGTGCGCCACCACCGCCTGGCCGTCTTCTCACTTTAATACCAGTTAAGTCTGTACAAAATGAATTAGAAGAGGAAGCACAAGCCAGGCGTGGTGGTACATTCCTTTAATCCTAGCCCTCAGGAGGCAAAGGTAAGCAGATCTCAAGGCACGCCTGGTCTGCAGAGAGTTCCAGGCCAGGGCTACACAGAGAAACCCTGTCTCAAAAACAAAGCAAACAAAACAACAACAAAAAAGAGCAAAAACAAACACAAGATAAACTTCCTTCTTGAAAAAGTGAAACGACACTTCTTAAGTACATGACACAGCCTTCTTACTCAGCTAAGTGGACAGGGTCCCTTCATGCAAAGCCCTTACTTCTCACTGCTGCTTCCCACTGCCACTGACTTTTGATGGTGATAACACTGCAATACACATTCTAGAAGCACGCCTATGGAGATGTTACCTACAATCAGGATTTCCTAAGCATTGAGTGGCTAGAATAAACACAATGTACATAGTAATACAAGGAAGTTTTCAACGTACAGAGCATGTAAGGGTTCCTTCTCAGTCTGCTAACACTGAGAATTGCATCTAAACCTTTGCCAGGCTGGGAGACTATCTGTGGCACCTCACTGTTTTTTCAGGAGTCACGCACATTTCTGAACATTTACTGGAGACCTGTAACTTCTGTGAGCCATCCACAGATACACTCAACTATTTTTTCCTTACTGATGCACAGCACACACATTTGAAGAGACTTACTTTAAATTCTCAGAAACTGTTTTGGCTTTATTGTAGTGTCCTCCAACTGGATTTGCAGCAGCAATAATGGAAGTTCTTGCAGGGAGGCTGCAAACCACACCAGCTTTAGCGAGGCTAATACTCTGCTGTTCCATGGCTTCTAACAAGGCTTGATGCTGGTTCCCCATTTTATCGAATTCATCTATCCCACAAATGCCTACAAGCACAGTAGGAAAAGACAAAAACATCTTTCTCTGGTCAGGTTTCAAATTTGTAGAAGTTACTGCACAATGATTATTTCTATTTGTTTCCAGAATTTAAAATTATCAAATGTTAACTAATGAGAACTGCCATTTGTTTTACTGCAAATGATACATCTATCTTATTACTAAACCTGGTGCATTATTAACCACTTTCCAGGGTAACACACTATGTGGTAGATCCATAAATGAAGACATGCAAGTCTTAAAATGCATCAAGACTTAGCCAGTCAGGTTAGACACAAACATCTAAGAATTGCATTCCCAGGACCACTTAGGACTTGCAGGATTAGGTGGTAGCTTCCCGGAGCAGAGTGCAGTTAAACTAGGGGAATTCATAAGAGCTTAAGAAAAAGGTGCCCCTTGAGTTGAGTCTTCGGGGGATTGCAGGAATGATTTGGGTGGAAGAACATAGCTCCAGTCGGAAGACTCAAACATGGTCTGTAAAGGGAGGTATAGATGGCAGTTGAGGGACACTAAACACACAGTGCCACCACCAAAGGCTCTCTGAGTACCAGGGATGTTGGGCCTGAAGCACAAGTTACTGGGGATCGTCCGCACACCTGGTAGTGTGCTTTTTCCCACTTCTCCACACCAGTTAGGGGATTCTCTCCTGTGGTTAAACTATCTGTACTCTGCGGCCACCTAACCCTTGCCAGCTAAGCACATGTGAGAAATAACTGCTTCTTACCTTGTTTACATTGCCAGATCTAGATACCTATTGTGCTGGGATTTGAGCCTGAGGCACATTAGTCTCACATCCATGAGTTCAACCCAGTGCCACTTCTAGGTTCCTATTTTATGGAACCAATTACCCTTTGTGTAGCATTTCCTTTTTTGTTATCTCTACAGTTGCTCAAAGTCCTATTATTTAGAACTTTGCTCTTTTCTTTCCTATTTATTGGAGCTATTGTAAGGCTTTCCTCTATATCCTTACATTTGTCAGTCTCATATACTGAGCCTCAATTTTTTTTAATCTACTGTACTTATCTCACTTTATTTCATTAAACTCGTGTTCTCGTTAAACTCTTTAAAGTTTCATGGGGAATTTTTATCGCTGCTTGGATTTCAGTTTTGCCCAGACAGGGAACTTTCACTGTTGTTTCTGCACAGCTGTCTCGCTCTGTTTATCCTGCTCATGGTTAGTGGCTCTTCTGCATAAGCCTGTTTATACTGTCATTCTTACGAGTACTCTCCCTGCTCTAATTGTGAGCCACCCTTTTCCCTTTTCTGTTAGTTTAATTAGATTGTAGACTACATTTTGTAACCCGCAAATGACGTAGGAAGGGGAAGCAAGAGCAACTGGATTCTGTGCCACCTAGCTTCCTGTATGGGGAGGGCCACCCATCCCTGAGGGAGGCCAGGCTGTCCAGTGGAGCTCTGTGAGCCTCCCTCCAGTGCTGGCTGTGGGCAGGCATATCATGCTTCCCGTGTTGCCCAGATGTCCCGTCCATGCTTCTGACAATGACAGTATTACTGAAAATCTCAGTTGACTGCACACGTCCTCCCAGGAGGGAATGAGGTGGGAACAAGATCAAGCCAACAAAATCTGTTGGCTCCCACTTTCCAGAGTATAAAGTGAGAGGCAGCCAACCTTTTCTGAAAAGGGCCAGAAGTAGGAATCTCAGGTTCTGCAGCCCATAGTTCACATACACTTGTGTTTTTTCTGTACAATTCTTTAAAACTATAAAAAAAGTTTTAGATTTTACACTGTAACACAACAGGCCCCACACAGGGCTCCCCCTATGGATTGTCTGTTGTCCTCTAGTGTGTGCTGGTTTTGAAGGTCTCAACATATAGCCAGGCTGGTCACCAACTCACAGAGATCCACCTGCCTCTGCCTCCTGAGTGCTGGGATTAAAGGCGTGCATAATCACTGCCTGGCTAAAGACAAAAGTTTTAAAGCCCCAGAATTTTTAGTCCCTTTTTTCTCTCACCTTGGTCACCAAGTACCAGGGCACCAGCTTCCAAAGCAAAATCTCCAGAGGAACTGTCTTTTGAAAGAGTTACAGTCAGCCCAGAGCTGGTGGTGGTATTTCCACAGACATACACACCACGGGGTGCCACATTGCATGCTGCCTATTAAAAACAAAAGGTTTAAAAGAATCATTCAGAGGATTGGAAAGATGGCTCAATGGATAGCTTTTGTTACCATGCAGCATGAGAACCTAAGTTCGGATCCCCAGCTTCCTTATAGACATTTCAGTGTAATATTCCTAATCTCTGCCCTTCAGGAGTGGAAACAGGCAGATCCCGGGGACTTGCTGGCCAGACAGCCTACCCAAAATGACAAGCTCCAAAGTTCAGCGAGAGACCCCATCTCAAAGACTAAGGTGCAAGGTGATAAGGAAGACACCTGACATCAACTGACTGCCTTCACACACACACACACACACACACACACACACACACACACACACACACACACACACACACCCCACAGTTAAAAAAAGAATCACTGACCAGTCATTGGCTCAAATCCAGGGGTATAACATATGTTAATGCTAAGTGTTCCCTGAAGTCTTTTTTGTTTTTGATGGACATTTATGTGTGTGTACCACAAATGTGCTAGTGTCCATAGAAGTCAGAAGCAGATCTCCTGGACATGGAATTTCAGATGATTCTGAGTCACCTGACAAGGGTACTGGGAACCAAAAGGGTCCTCTAGAAGAGTAGCAAATGTTTTCAAAAGTTGAGACACTTTTCTCCCGAGACAGGTCTCATCAGCTGAGGGTGTCATCCTCAAGTTCACTATGCGATACACAGTATGATACTGAAGTGCTGGTTTCCCAAGGGAGCACCACCATAGTTGTGTGTGTGACAAGGGAGCACCACCACAGTTGCTCTGTGTGTGACAAGGGAGCATCACCACAGTTGTGTGTGTGACAAGGGAGCACCACCACAGTTGCTCTGTGTGTGACAAGCTTTCTATCAACTGACTACATTCTCAGGCCTCTTTGTTAGTCTTTTTTGAGAAGTCTTACAGTGATCTGAGAGTGGGGTAGTTTACTAAGTGGTCAGAAGAAAGTAAGAATATAAATGTTAAGTGGTTCCCAATAATGCTGGCCCAATTTTTTAAAAAACTGGCCTCTAATATTAGAGCTTTAAAGAATTATTTTTATTGTTTTGGGATTGTGTGTGTGTGTGTGTGTGTGTGTGTGTGTGTGTTTTACATGAAAGTATTAAGTATACCACATGTGTGCACTGCCTGTGGAGGCCGGGAGAGGTTGTCATAGCCACTAGAACTGGAGACACAGTTGTGATCTGCTATGTGGGTATGGGAAACCAAATAAATCCAGGTCCTCTTCAAGAGTAACAAGTGCTTTTAACTAAGCTATCTCTTCATTCTTTGCTTTCACTTGTACTATAAACTTTGTTTCATTTATAACTAGGTAACATTTGCCTCAGATATCAGGCTGTTGCAAGGGCTCAGAACAAGTTAAAATCGGCTCTTCTGGCCAGAGACCCAAACAAGGATGCAATGTTTTAAAGGAATTAAAACGACTGGTTTAGCCGGATGGTGGTGGTGCACAACTTTAATCCCAGCACTCAGGAGGCAGAGGCAGGAAGGGAGTTTGAGGCCAGTCGGCTACAAAGCTACAGAGAGAAACTCTGTCTCAACAATCCAACACCAAATAAATAAATAAATAAATAAATAAATAAATGAAATTAAATAAAAAGACTGGCTTAGTATTCAACCACAAGGAAGAATAAAGATGACCCACGTGAAGGGTGGTAGGGTGGACATGCAATGTCAAGATCAAAGCAGTCCTGTCTAACATCAGGACCACCTGTAGAGCACTACATAAATACAAATACTAACTTCAGGCTGCCTACACTATCTTCTAAGTTTCAAAGACAAGTGTAATCTACAACCAGAGCACTCAACTGCTAGACTAAGATTCATCAGCACAGGACAGCTGCAAGAAAGAGGGACTTTGTGGGCATCCTTAAGAAGGACACAGCTGGGTATCACTCTCAGAAAAGCACAAGCTTTCCAACCAACTACCTTCTAGAGCCATGATGAATGAACCCAATAAGGATACACCATCAGGCTCTGGCTAAAAGAGACAGAATCTTCTTTGGTGGGTAACAACTGAATGGTCAGAAAAGTTGCTTTGCTTTGGATTCAGAGAAATGGTGATGATGTACTCAGAGAGACCCCTTACCTTTACCAGAATATTCTGAAGCCCTAACAAGATGCTTAGGTATGTGTGTGGAAGGAATACATGACCCAGCTTTACTTCCTTCACTATTCTGTTCATGGCTGTAGTCACATCACAATAGACTAGCAAAGCATTACTAGGGGTAATAATGGTCTGTGTGGCAGGAAGGCACACGTGTATAACTCACACAAACTCCAACTCTCCTATACCCCTAGATCCTCTGCAACCCAAACATGCTATACGTTGAGAAATGTCACTTGCCAATTATTCATACATTATATAAACAAAAGGCAAAATACTAAATATTGATTTTCTACCTGCAGCATCTGACTCTTTCCCAAGCCCGGATCTCCAACAATCAGGATGTGTGGGTCTCCTCGAATGGGAATCCTGTTTTTGTCATCTGCGTACTTCTGGCTACCACCAAAGAGTGCTAACACCAACCCTGCTTTAACAAGCTTGTGTGAAGAAGATAACAAAAAACGAAAAACATCAAGATGACTAGCAAGAGGCATTCCTGGTGATTATTTCCCCTTCACAGTGCTGATGGAGCCCAAGGCTTAGTGCCTAATTAGTCAATGCTCTACTCTATCCCTGAGCTATACCCCAGCCAGGCTACTTTTAAACATGGCTGAACTTTTTTATTTATTTATTTTTATAATGAAGTCAAGAAACAAAGCCAGCATGTCTACATTCCCAGAGCTTGAGATACAGACACAGGAAGGTTATGAGTTCAAGGCTACGTGGGGCAACAAAGCAAAAGCCTGTCTCAAAAAGCAAAAACATCTAGAAACAAACTTCTACAACATGAATAATTAAAAGACTAAAAGTATATAAATCAGTGGTATCTTAGAAATTGATAAAAGCAACTTCATAAATCCATTCCCAAGTGAAAAATACCTGTTGGTGCCTACTTTAACTTAATGTCTAATTACTTTGTCTATTTGTCAAAGGTGTCCATTCCCAGTAACTGTCAACAGTTCTAGGGGGCTATTATTTGCCTCCCACATAACCAACTTATAGAGAATGATGATTCATATTAAAATATCTCATTACTGTTAGCATTAATGTACTTTTTGAATGAAGGTGAAGTAATATACTTACTTCATGACCAAAAATGACAGGACAAAGTGAGCTGAAAAATAGAATACATCTTATAAATTCTAACTGAAATTGCATAGGTGCATTGAAGATCTACTTTACAATTTGCTTAATTTCCTTACTTAGTAACTAAGAGGAGAGCAAATTTTACATCTCCTCAACCACACAAATATTATTCTTGCAGAAAACTTTATTGAGTTTTACTTAATCTATGAAGGGATTTTGTTTTAAAATCCATGCCTCTCTGAAGGGGTGCAGGAAAACATCTTAAAGTAACTCAATACACAGCTGATCTTACAGGATTAACACTTAAAATGCACTATTATCAGGTTTTCCACATTCCCAAGTTCCTTGTTTTGTTAAAACAGACATCTTTAGACCTGTATCGTCAAGTCACCAAAAGGAGAACACTAACGAGTGAGATCAGCACAAATATTACTATTTCAAAGTGGCGTAAAATTTCATTTCTTTTCAGTTCAATTCAGAAAGGTCAGATTAAGTGTGAATATAAGGAAATAGATCTACAAGGACTGGAGAGATGATTCAACCTACAGAGTGCTTGCTGGAAAAGCATAACAATTTCAGACTTCCAGAGCCACATAAAAGTCAAGTGTAAATTGGGTGATTGGGACCTGCCTTTAATCTCAGCATTCTGGAGGCTGAGCCAGGCAGATCTCTGAGCTTGAGGCCACTCTGGTCTACAGAGTGAGTTCCAGGACACCCAGGACTACATAGAGAAACCCTGTCACAAAAAATAAACAACGTTCCTCCCCCCAAAAAAACCCACAGGTATAGTGGAAAGCTGTAATCCTACCACTGGGGAAGTGGAGACACAGGAATCCCTGGTGCTCACTGCCCAGCCTAGCCAACCTCTAAGCTCTAGATTCACTGAGAGACTGACTCAAATCATAAGATACTTAGCGACAGGCAAACTGGTGAGCAGTGCCAAAAAAGAGGCACTACGCGCTGCTTCACTGATAACCGCTAAGAGGAATGACTGGTGTCTGAGTCTCATCATGGCCACTGCTGGGGTACCTGCCTGCCTGCCTGCCTGCCTGCCTGCTCAGACAATTCCTATGTAGCTTACACACGCTGATATTTGGTGGGAAATTTGGACAGTTTAAAGACAAGAACTCAAGTAACTCAAAACTTTCCTCAGTTGGCAAACTGACACACGAAAAGCAGAAAGACTCAATTCAGAGCCTGAAGCCTTGATCAATTTCTTCATAGAATGCGTTCTATCCTTCTTCATCTCCTAGGTACGGTAACTTTTTATTCAGTCTCTTGATTTTCCTCATTTCTTCAAAATTACCCCCAAATTGTCAGAATGTCAAAAGCATACTATGTCAAGTATGGTAAGTATATTACAAACCACAACCACACAGCAAACTTTCTGTGTGAGACAGTCATCATTTAAGCTAGGTATCATTTTTTTCTAAAAAGGCATAAGTATCCCCTTATGTATTATTTCCTGTTGCTACTACTCACTTCTGTCACCACAGTGCAAAGGCAGCTAGGACATCATCTAAGTGAATGAATGTGGTTCTATTCCAAGAAAACTTTATTTCTGGACACTGAAAACCTGAATTTCATATAATACCGTGTAATGAAGTCCTCTTCATTTTTTTTTTTAATAACCATTCAAAAACACAAACGCCCTCACAAGTCCTGACCAAAAGACAGTGGCCTATGTGGCCATAGGCTACATGTGGCCTACGGACTCATTTGTTGACCATTTTGACTAGTTGTTTTGACAACTAACCAAGAGCACACTGACATGCACATCCATGACAAAGCTCGGGTCACTAAGACATACTTGACAATGAGCTTCAGCAGGTTCTCTTCAGCCTGGATCTCTTGGATGGCATACAGGTCTTTAAGGGAGAACTCCATCAGTGTCCCATGCTGACAGCCATCCTCCGCAGTCTGTGCTTTCTGTCCTTTGCTGTTGCTAACAGAATTTGCTTCAATGTACAAAAGGAACATGCACTTATCATTCTTATTCCGAGAACCTGCAAATTCAAAATATTAATGTATTGTTTTCATTTTCCATAAAACAACTTGACTGGGTGTTAAACAGGATTTATGACTCAGTGATTTTATTTATTCATTTACTAGAGGCTTTTTAGGGAAAGAGCCTCAAGACTAACCTCGAACTCTGACAATCCTTCTACTCGGCTTCCTGAGGACTACAACACTTCATCTTACATAGAAACAAGGAATTTCTAAATTATTTGAGATGCAGAAGTATCTTACACAGAGGAAAAAAAGCTAACATATCACCGTTACAACATACCTTCTTCAGTATTGGAGACTTTGACAATTCCAGTAATAGTCACTGTATCTCCTGGGACACAACTATCTACAAGATCATGAACAAGCTCACATTCTATTGTTCGAGGGATCCGCCCTGCTTCTCTCTGTGCATCAGACATCAGCTCCTGTATTCTATGACAATCAACAATTTTCAGTTAGCATACATCTTACTTCCAGTTGTTTCTTCAAACAGTGACCATTCAGGATCTGTACAATGCTATTCTAGATGAAGGCAGACTGCTTTTTAAGAAGTTCAAAGGTATTTCAAAAATCACTTTAACAGTTTCCAATTCATTATGGCAGAATGAACATATGTATTAATTTCTCCTAGAATCCCTCAAGAATCCAACAAGTAAGACTCATCAAAGAAGGGAAGACAAGCAAAGTGCCATTAGCAAATGAGGCACTAGTGAAAATTCTGAAAAGAGCAAATAATGAAGTAGTGATGGCTGAAGTGAAGTCCAGATGCACAGACAAAACTCACAAGGGTACAGAGAAGGGCACCCAGGTTCTCAGCAGAGCCCCAAGAGGCTCTCAAAGTCGAGGGCAGGCGGCAACGGACAGTAAAGAAATAAGTATTTCAAATGTCTTTGGAAGAAGTGAACAGTCAGATAGGAAACAGTGAGAATTTACCACCAGGCAGCAGGAACACTGTCTATAGTAATGGGCAGATTCCTTATAAGAGGGGCACTAAGATGTTCACGAGGCTCTCTCAACTCCAGAATAAAGTCTCCTCAGTTCAGCCTTTAAAAAGCTCAAAACAACTCAAGAATACTCAGAATAACAAGAACTCCCGACCTACTCTGGGAGGCCTGAGGAGGAGGAACTCTAACCCACGGAGAGCAGCAGAGATGGTCCCACCTCTCCAAACAATCTCACCTCATCGCTGAAATGGCAGTAATTAAAGGAAGAAAAAATACAAAACAGGAGTCTAAGAGCATGTCATAAAAGAAAATTAGTGTTCTGAGATGGGAACAGATGGAGGACAAGTGTGAAATCAGAAAATTAAAACCACCAAGGTAAAGGTGCCATGTCTGTAACGCCGGTGCTCAGGAGGCTAAGACAACATTGTGGGTACAAGATTACACATAGACTACAATTAGTCTCAATACAATGGCAACAAAGCACATAAAAAGCAAACACTTCCAGAAATGATACAACAAAGAGCCAACTTAATTTGGAAAGCATGCAGAGAAATGAAAGGGTAAGGCAAACAAAGCAATAGGCAATGTAAGGGATGTATCTGACTGGAAGTCTACAGAGAAAGTACTGGATAGTATACTGGACAGCCAAAGACAACTCAGGGACAAAAAGTGTCAAGGGGCAGGAAGATAACTGAATATTCCTTCACCATTTCATAAGCACACAAAGAGACGATGGGGGGGGTCCCAGCACCTAAAGGGAATGAGAGTCAGAACAACATCAGAACTCCCTCTAACAGCAGGGAAAATAAGAACTTAATAGGAGCTGTCAGACCTTTATTTTACAGGGGTGGGGGTTATCATGAACATATAGTCAAAAAAGCTAGGAACATATAGTCAAAAAAGCTAGAACGACTACATGAAAAACACATAAATGAGGAGGCTGGAGAGATGACTTAATGGTTAAGAGCACTTACTGCTCTACCAGAGGACCCAAGTTCAGTTCCCAACACTCATGATCTGCCTGTAACTACAGCTCTGGGGTTCAATCCCACGCCAATCCTCTGGCTTCTGATGTCCCTCTTGTGGCCTCCTTGGGTACTCACACAGTCATGGCATACATTCATGTACACATACTACACATAAAAACAAATCTTCTTTGGAAAATATAGAAATAATGCAGTACTTGGAAAGCAAACGAAGTAAAATAAGCCAACAGTAAGTGGTATAAAATGCTGGGGAAAAAAAAAGAACATATCATAAAATAGCCTACTTTTAAGTGATTATCTAAAACTTCAAACATTATCATAGTCCATCATGGAATATGAATGAATATTACACTTAAGTACGAAATGAACCACTTCTCAGTAGCAATGGGATGTAATAGCTGTATCCTTTCTAGAATGTAGACACCAATCAATTTCAAAGAAATAATTATCATTTTAAAACATATAGACTCGGAGGGCTGGAGAGATGGCTCAGAGGTTAAGGACCTGGCTATTCTTCCAGAGGTTCTGAGTTCAATTCCCAGGAACTACATGGTGGCTCACAACCATCTGTAATGAGATCGGGTGCCCTCTTCAGGCCTGCAGGAACACATGCAGGCAGAACACTGTATATATAATAAACAAACCTTAAAAAAAAAATAGACTCATCACAGAAGCACTGTTTGTGGATCAAATGCCAGGACACATATAATAAAACCACAGACTACTCAGCAGAATGACAACTCTTTTAGAGAATGTTCCAGGTGCTTACTTGATCAACTGCCAGTCCACTGTAACGGTGAGAGGAGAGCTGCGCAAAGGAGCAAACGACTTCCCTCGACAAGCAGACACCGGACACTGCAACACGAGAACCACTCTTAAGGTAACTAAGTTACCACCTCACCCACGTCTTGTTAGTCTCCATTCTTGGCCCTTTTCTAGCTGACCCTTCTCATTTCCTATACTTATTTTTGCTGTGAATAGCCAAAGTTCCCCACTTACCTCCGCATCGTGTACTTATTCCTTCCTCTCTGCCCAGGAACTCTCCCAGTCTTGAACTCCTTGGCTGCCCCTTCTTCAGTCCACATACTTTGACCCAACCTTTTCCTTTTGACGTCTTTCATTAAGGACCTTCGTTGACCCTTGGCTCTCCTCTAGCCCCCTTTGCACTGTGTGGTGTATTCACTTGACTCGTAATTCTCACTGTATATGTAGGCTGTGTTCAGGTTTTCCTAAGTCACTTACTGGGTGTTAAAGCTCAAGAGGCATTTATGAACTTAAGGCATTGTAGCAGATATGCAACAGTATATCCTGATCAGGAGCAGGAGTGAGTTTCCTCTCCCGGAATCCGGGCAGCTGTGACAGAAGTGACGGTGCATGAAAAGCCAAGCTGGCTTATGAAAGGCAGTGCTCTGCCTACCATTTGATCCCTTTCCACAGCAGCTATCAGCAGCCCTGAGCAGATAACCTGCTCTGAACTGCCATCACATGAGCAAAAAGCCCATAAGAAAGGTGCCCAGCCAGGACACCTCACTCTACCAGCTCCAGTGATCCCGTGATGGCAACTCCATAGAGATGGAGAGGCAGAATTACCCAGGTGAGGGTTCTTCTAGCCTTCAAAAGTAAGAAATCATGAGAAATAATAGTTTAGTGGTTTTGAGCTCTAAGTGTAAGGCCATTTGTTCTGCAATAGCTCTGTTCACGGACACTGGGAAATGTTTTCTGTAAACTGATGTGCCTCTGTAAAGAAGATAGAAGGTAAAGTTTGTTAAAGAGCATATCACCTTTGTAGGAAGATTGTACTTCCCATCGGGCAGAGGGATGCTCTGGATCTCTCCACATGCGGCACAACGGAAAGCCATCTTGGTGCAAAGAGGCTTTATGTTACCAACACGAACCACGGTCCCTCTTATAGAGATGTACTTCCCATAGCAGTTTGCTCGGACGTTCTTGAGGTGTGTTAAGGGCTCATAGTTGTACACTCTAAAAATAGAATAAGAATGTGTCTATTTATAAACTTACAATGAACAGAGAGTTGTATTTTCACAGGTTCCTTTTGGAAGCAGAGAATCCATCACAGAAATCTCATGAAATAACCCTCAGTAGGCAATTTGGTTAAGGTATCAAATAAGCAAGGAACACTGATTTCCTTGTTTATATAAACTGAGGTTCTCATTCTGTTTTTCAAGTTTTTTCTCCTTTTCTTTTCTTACCATTTACTGATTTGTGTGTGCAAGAGCCACGAGTGTACCATGGCGTGCATATGGAGATCAGAGGACAACTTGTGGGAGTTGACTCTCCTTCCACTATAAGGGTTCCAGGGCCTAAGCTCAGGTCATCAGGCTCAGTGGCAGCTTATCTTATCCACTGAGTCATCTCACCAACCCAAGGTTCTTGTTCTTAAATACTTCCCATTAGACAAAAACATGTGAGCAAGAAAGAATACAGTGAGTATAGTTCACAAGGTAAGAAATGCAAATGACCAACAGATATTTGTAAAGATTTTCACTGTCAATCAGGCATCAGGGAAAAGTAAAACTGTTGTGAGATTTCATCTCACTCAGTAAGAATGGCTATCAATCAGAAAAAAATGAAAACAAATGCTGTCAATATCCCTCAAACATTACTGGTGGACTATAAGCTGGTAAATCAATAACCCTAACAAATGGAAAACAGAATTATCATATGACTCACTTGTACCACTACTGGGTATAACCCTAAAGGATTCTGAGTGAGCACACCAGATACTTGCAAACTCATGTTTACTGCTGTACTATTACAATAACCAAGACAAGGAACTAGCCTGGGTATCTGTAATAGATAAATGGAGAGGGAAAATGTGGTACATAATGGAATTTTATTAAATTATAAATAAGAATGAATTATGACACTCACATGAAAATGGACAGAATTGAAGATCAGTATTTTAAGTGAAATATGCAAGATTCAGAAATATACACTATATGCTTTCTCTCATATGTGAAATACAGATATATAGACACATACACACACACACATGAAAGTAGAAAGGACAAGTCTGAAGGGAGATAGGAGGGGTAAACAAGAGAGGGTAATGGAATCTCTATACATTAAAATAGAAGCGGAGACTATTTAAGGGAGGACGGGGTCTAGTCACAGGCTGAAAGGGGAAGTAAGTGAGGCCAGTGGAAGATGGGATGAAAATTAAAAACAAAGTCATGCTTTGTGTGTATAAAAGTTTCACAATGAAACCCATTTATCTGTACAATATCAAAAAGTTACTGATAAAAAATAGCATCAAGTTTCTCACCTTGCAAAAATATGCGGTACATTCACCATTGTTTCGCCATCATTAGACAACCCTTCTTGAGCTTGTAATTCAGCCGCATGCCGTTCAAGGTCCTTGGTTAATACCTTAGTCAAAAATTGAAAAATTAAATACTCTTTAAGCAGAACTCTCATAGAGAACCCAAAGCTCATGAACAGCTCAGAAAAAATAAACATACTGTGATAGTTAAAAGACTGATAATTGATTAAGACAATTTATTTTGCAGTAGATTGTTTCATTTGGGATCTTCTTGTACTTGTACCAATTTCAGCATCCCTACCTTTGGTACCAAATAAACTTAAAGTCCTTACAGTAGGGGCTGAAGAGATGGCTCAGCAGTTAACAACACTTGCTGTTCTCGCAGAGGACTGAGGTTCAATTCCCAGCACCCACATGGTGGCTCAAAGCGATCCATAAGTCCAGTTGTAGTGGAACCAATGCCGTTTTCTGACCTCTTTGGGTACTAGTCACACGCGATATACACGTACATGTGGGCAAAACACTCGTACACATAAAGTCTTCAAAGCCATTACCCACTGGGTTCCACTAAAAAGAATTCTGTAGGGCATGCCTCAGCTTAAGCCAGAGCAGGAAGACTGGGAAGGAACTGTGCCTAAGAGCATGTTAGAGAGAGGAAAGAATGATGTGATTCCCTGGCTAGAGAAATAATGGACTGGATGAGTCTGAAGACAAGAGGCAAGGTGATCAGTGCAGGGTTTCCAGCAGTGCACACAATTGTTCATTGCACCTGGATGCCCTGATCTCTTGCTTTAAGACCTACCATAAGCCCACGTCTTCCCCTGAGCTTCCCCCACTCTGCCCCACCTCTGAAGGCAACCAGCACTTATCTGTGCCTGTCCTGGGATCTGCTTCCCTTTACCTGAAAGCACTTATGCGGGTGCTTTCAGGTGCTGTGTCGTCTGTCCCTGAGAAAAACTGATACAAGCACACAACTGTTACTCCCACTTTGCACATGGGACCCTCAGAGAAATAAGTGATTTTTCTGATGCCATAGAAACTACATCTGAGGTCAGTCATTTTGCTCCAAGTTTCTAACATCATGCTTGTTTTATTTTTCATATGAAATAAGATAATTCCTCCAAAAGGAAGTATAACTTCTGTATCTTTAATGAGATTGAACTGATTCATGTAAATTGTACGTAGGCTGAACTTGTTACCTCTTAGAGGAAGTCTGCAATCCTTAAATTCTAACCAACTTCTATTAGTAAAAGCTAAGCACCTTTTCAAAATTACTGACTCTATGGTATCTCCATTTAAAATGCTGGCTAAATTTACCTGATGTATTGCGAGACCCATACACGCCAAGGTTTTCTCAGGGGTATCTCTTAGTGCATTTTCTATATCTGGTATCAAGTCAGTTATTTCATCATCTTTTGTCAGTTCTTTAAAATCCACCAAAATGCTTCCCTTTCTTTCTATTTCATCCTATAAAAGATTAAAATTGAAATAAAACAATTGCTTTTTGTGGTGACATATTGTTTATGATCTAAAAAAGCTTGCCTGGAGATCAGAATGCAAAGCTAGCCACACTAGTCAGTCTTAGAGGTCAGGAAGTGGTGACACACACCTTTAATCCCAGCAGCTAAACTAGTTAGCCAGAGATGCTGAGTGGTGGTGGTGCACACCTTTAAGGCCAGCACTAGAGAGGGATACATGGCAGGAGGAGACAGGAACTCATTGCAGTCTAAGTCTGAGATCTAGGGGATTAGCCTTTCAGCCTGAGCATTGGCAGAGGTGAGAACTTTCTAGTGGCTGGCTGCTTTGCTTTTCTGATCTGTTTCTGGGCTTATATTATTCATGCTACAGCTTTTTTGAGTCAATTACCGTAACTAACCATTTAGTATATACTTTGAGAAAGCATGGAATGGTCACTTAGTGATAATTCTAAGTCTCATTACACAGCTGTAATGTTGTAATTTTTATGTACATGTATTTAACAAACTTTTGAAATTTGTATTTATAGTAATATCTTTAAGGATGAGAAAGCTAAAGCAGAGAGAATGTAATTCACTTAGATCCACACTGCTGGTGAATAGTAGAGCCAGGATCTAAGTGACACACATCCAGTTCCAGTGCTCATACTCACTAGCACGTGAAACACACTGTTCAGTTAGCGGTCACATAAAGACAGACTGCCAGTGTTGTTGAAAGCACTCACCTTATCATAAAAGTCAATGTGCCTTGTGAAAAACTTCTCAAATGCTTGAGTCTTCTCAATAAAAGGAGAGCTATTACTGTAAACTAATCCAACAAATACAGCATTAGCACCAATAATCACACATGGCAACATTTATATTTTCCTGAGACAGATCCCTAGAAACCATAAACTTTTCCCCTTACTTAGTTTGTACTGTGATTACACTTGGATAAATGTAATGAATACTTGATAAATGAATGATACTTGAGATTCTAAAAGAAAAATACTGAATAACCTGAAACTTTCTACTGAGTCTTAGACTCCTCAAAGGGTATGTCAATTCAAATATCTTATGCAATAAGCTTAAACTAAACATTATAATAAATGCAAAGCCATATACACAAACAGCAGAGCTAAGCATAATCACTGTCTTTGCAAAGTAAATTCTACTTGTTATACTGCCTCTCGTCAAATTATTTCCAAAGATCTGGAGACAGACCAAAGCTTAACTGTAATCTCAAAACTGTAATTCTACTTTTAAAAATAGTTTTACAAAGTTTTATGATATCTTCAAGTTTCTCTCTCACAGAGTCCAGTGAAATGCAGCTGGGTCAATTTTAAGCAGGGTGTCCCTGAATTCCATAGTAAAGGTCACTTACAGTTCTCTGAGCTAGAACAATAAATGAACATGTTGGTAGTTATTGTATCCTAAAGGAATAAAGATCTTCTGTGAAACACATCTACCAAGTCAATAGGGAGGGGAGAGAATTTATTCACAGAATACTGAAAGTCTGTCACAAGACAGGATCTTGACCACAAGCAATATAATATAGAAGGGGGCGGGGCACACAATTATAATAAAAACAAGAACAAAAACCACACTTCATAAGAGATACAGTAGACATGTAGATGCCACAAGAAGACAGAAGAGCAGCAGTTCCACAGTTCACAAGAATGTCTAATAGGAGATGGTATTCTTTCTACACAAACCTGAAGTGGCATTTAACTCTTGGTTCCAAGTCTATTACTCTGTTTCCTGCTGTGATACTGATTGACATCTGTGCCCAAGTTCCCAGACAATCTTAAGGTCCAGGCAACTGGAGACACTGTAAGGACCGGAAGGTGGCAAGAAGTATGAAAGAAACTATTCTTGTTTTGGTTCATTTAAGATTTACTTATATGCTGTGTGTGTGTGTGTGTGTGTGTGTGTGTGTGTGTGTGTGTGTGTGTGTGTGTGTGTGAAGTATGTCACATGTGCAGGTGTCTGCAGAGTCATGAGGGTTTCTGAGCGAGCTTCCTTCTGGGAACCAAGCTCAGATCCTCTGGAAGAACAGCAAGCACGCCTAACTTCTGAGCCACCTCTCCAGCATCTCTGCTACTGCACAGGACAGCTATGGTTCCAAGCTCCAGGATCCCAGCATCTCTGCTACTGCACAGGACAGCTATGGTTCCAAGCTCCAGCATCTCTGCTACTGCAAAGGACAGCTATGGTTCCAAGCTCCAGGATTCCAGCAACATTCTGATAAGTCCTCAGTTACCAGGCACAATCCGCTTCTTTCATCTGTGTTGTGAGCACAAAGCTGAGTGCCTTTCAAAGTCCCAAAGCACAGCTTTGGAGGGTGCCCTGAGATTAAAGCCACACCTTTCTGTGCCTCCACCTCTGAACTCCCAACCTCTGACAGCCTTGGAATGTCTTGATTTTTGTTCTCCCTCAGCCACAGGGATCAGACTGCTGTGTCCAGAAATCACTACTTTCTGGGAGGTAACCTCAGGACTCCCTGTCTGCTTCTTGAGTCTTCCATACACATATCTAATTCTTTGTATTAAATCCCTTTTTGAAACACTAGTTTCTGTTTTCCTGACTCACATATAAAAACAATGCTCCTAACGAATGTTAGGAAGAGCAAAAGGCATACATCAGATATTCAACAGAATCATGGTAACATGTAAATGTAGTATCCAGAGGTAAACATATAACTCCTGGTACTTTTAAGCTCTTTAACTCTACCTTCAGAGAAGTAAAGCTTCCAGCCCTTATAAGGTATAAACTGATCCAACGTTGACTGTAAAAGTAAAGGCTGTGACGTTTGTTCTGAAAAAGCAGAATATTATGTCAGTAAAAAACAAAGCACTGTTTCCCAGTCTCTCCTTCCACAAGAGTCTATTAATAGATTCTAAATTCAATATTTCAATAAGAATTACATCCTCCTGTCTACTGTGCGTGAATTGCCTTTTTTTTACATTTGTTTATGAATGTTGTCTGTGTCCATGTGTGTGTCCACACATGGAGGTCAGATGACAGCTTGTAAGAGTCAGCTCTCTCCTGCCATCATGTGGGTTCCTAGGGAAGGCTTGGTGGCAGTTACCCTCACCTACTCAGCCATCTATTGACCCTTTAGTTGTTCCTTTCCTAAGAGACAAGCAACTGATCATTGGATGCACTCACCAGAAGTGTGCTTTCCTGTGGCTTTACCCAGGTCAGCTCTGTGCTCTCTTTCTCTCCAGCTTCCTGAGAAGTTCCCACGACCTCTTCCTCTTTTCCAGCTTTGGAATCTTCCCCGTCCAAAACCTCTCCCTCTATATGCACCACTCATGTCTCCTAAAAGTCAATAGCATGCCTAAAAATGTATTAACATAGTAAAAAGGGGGAAATCAATGCACTGTATTTGAGACTAGCACATAGGCTTGCAATGTTATGTATAAACTTTATGTATTGTGTACTTACTCTTGTAATCCCCATCACGACTCAAGGTACACTAGACTTTTATTCAGCACCAGTTTCCAAGGAACCACCAACAGAGAAATAAAGACCGTAACTTGAACCTGTTTGCAGTGTTTGAGACTATTATTAGGCTGTAATAGCTGAACAGAACTCTCGACTGAATGATACTAGGGAAATATCATAGCTCAGTCTTTCTTGTATTATTTTCTGTGGCAAGCTGTCCTAAAACTGTTCTCATGAAAAATAATTCCACTTAAAAATTCTTAATTCCCTAGCTACAAACTACTAATGACATTTTCTTTTTTACTCAGGTTTTATTTTGCTTCTGTTCAAGAATTCTCACTATGTGATTTCCCCCACCTCTTTTTTTATTATTAATTTTTTTTAAGTTTAAATTTAGATTAGAAACATGGTTGGTTCACAAGTCAGTTCCAGGTCCCTCTACTAATAACGTTTTCATACACTGCAGTGAAATTCATTAGGAGAGCCTATTCTAATCTTAAGGGGATTTCGTTAATAACTAAAAGGTCTGCAAATAAGCAAACTACTTTAAATGAAAGTTTGTTTGCAATAGCACCGAGATAAAAACGCAAGTCTTCAGGACCCTCAAGATGAGACATTCCATCCCAACACCACGTTCCACATCGACCCAACAGGTAACGTACTGGGAACGGTGCAATTCCAACATAGCGAAGAAAACCTGAAAAGAGACACCCGCAGTTCCTCACGTCCCGTCGTCCTAACTGCGGGAGTGCCGGAGTCCTCCCAGCTCGCGACCCGCCCGTAGGCGGTGCGCACCCCCACGCTGGGCTACGCGGACACCCGGGTACCAGGGTCGCCGCACACCTGACCGCGAGACTCAGGGCAGAGAGAGCTGAGCACAACACTGTAAGGCAAACTCAGAGTTGCTCCTGCGTTCTTTTTTGGCGCGTCTATGACGTTTCTGGGAGCCACGCGACGGGAGGGCGGGACGACTAGTAGCCAATCAAAGAGCTCAGATAGACGGAAGTCGCTAGGCTCCCGGAAGCCGCCCTGAGGTAGGGACCGGAAAGCGGAAGCGGCGCGCAGCACGTGGGGGCGGTGCCAGCCGAGGGGTAAGTTCCTCCTGGTGTGGTGCTTCTGGAGGCTGGAGCGGCTGCACATCTTGGATACGGCCGGGCGTCCATGGAGGCATCAGCGGAGCAGCCAGTCCCACAGCCCCCGCATGCCGGGGACCACTGCATCCATGACGGCGACTTCGTGGTGCTGAAGCGGGAAGATGTGTTCAAAGCAGTGCAAGTGCAGCGGAGAAAGTGAGTCTAGTTGCTGGCCCTGGGCGGCGCGCACCACCCCCTGGATAATCACCCCCTCCAGTGTCCCACTCTTCGTTCTTTAAATCCGCCCCCCCCCCCCGTTGTTGCCACCACTCAGGTCTTCCTAGCACAGAGGACTTTTCCCACTTGGATCCTTTCGCATGCTTGGCTAGAGGGGTCTCCTTTGCCCCTTTCTCATCCTACAGCACTCGCCTCCACCTTTCATTCCCCAGCCTTCTACCTTCAGCGCCAGATTCCCTTCCCAGGAATTCCATCCTTGGTACTCCGGCCCCCGAGGACGCTTCGCTTAGGTTCTTAGGGCCTTCTCTGTCACAGAACTTCACCAGCCTCTCACGTTGAGATCTCTTCATTATGTCTGACTCTCATCTCCACCTTCCCCGTAAGGAAAGATTCCCTACACCTAGTCTGGCTTTCAGTCGGGCCTCTTCTGTCAACGAGTAAGAAAAGGCAGCTTGTTGTTAAAATGTCTAGGTTTACCCAGTAACGAGACACAAACCGCGACTCAACGATCCCACGTGGAGTTTCATTGGTAGACAGGGAGGGAAAGGGGGGGTGAGAGGTAACCAACCCGTGCAGAGCTGAGAGAGAGATAAGATGTAAGGGGGGGGAGGGAGAGGGGGGGGAGTTGAGATGGAGCAGGCAGGGGTCAGTCCTTTAAAGGGGTCCTTTGCACCTGCGTGGTTCTCCCAGAACGCTGGGCTGGCCAGAGTGTTGCCTGAGTGCATCCTGCCAGGTAACAGGGCAGGCCAGCGTGATGCCTGAACCTTTCACAGCTTTCTACAGTGTGGAATCACCGTGAACCCTTCATTTTACATCATGGTATTAAATGTCCAGGAAAACAGAATTGTTCACAAGCAGTTCACCCAGAGCTGGTAATTAAGCTTGGTGACTCTCTGACAGAGCTGATTAAGTTACTTAACCCTTCCTAATAGCTTATTGATCATTAGAATTTATTGTGATACTTTGATACAACGTCGTTTACTTATGGATTTTCAGTCCTGCTTTGTTATATGCTGAGGCTCTGTGCATGCTAGACATGGACTCTGCCACGGAGTCACATTGCCATTCCTGTAATACTCCTTGAAAAGAAGTAAATCATGCAAGGTCAAGAGAACAACTTCCGTGGGTCAGAAAACTGGGTGTCGTGAAATTTGGAACCTTTCGTAAGACTCACTTCACATAAGTTAATTTCGCTGCTGTTTGAATGGTATTTGAAATGAAGCAGGAAACAGTAGGAATGTTAAGGGATGGGAATGGAGCTCAGTTGCTAGAGTGCTTGTCTGTCGTGCTCCAAACCCGAGGTTTGGTTCCCAGCATTACAGAAATGGACTGTGTTGGTGCAGGCCTGTTATCCCAATACTTGGGAGATGGAAGAAAGGAGGATCAATAGTTCAAGGTCATGCTTGGAGAGTCTAAGACTAGCCTGGCCAACATGAGACCCTGTCTCAAAAAAAAAAAATAATAAAACCAGTAAGACAGGCAGCCCTGTCCAGCGCATTAAGCCAGTTAGTAGCCAACCTTTCTTGGCACAAGCACAATTTGATTAAAATACACACACACCGAAAAAAAAAAAGTCTAGAATCAGCTGTCTGCACCAGCTTTTGGGCACTTTAGAATTCTCCACTGAGATTTTTTTTTAATCTTGGTGGTTGAAATTAGAGAAATCTTACAGCTGTCCTCACTCCATTTTTGTGTTCTTGAAGGTAGTGTTTTATGTTTCCTTTTCAGAATTTTAAATTAGAAATTCTTTGCCTACTTCCAAGTGCATAGGTTTTAGAAATTGACAATTGATAATTTAAGCTTTTAAGCTGAAGTATAACTTAGTACAGCAAGGCTCTTAGACTGTGAGCATATATTTTGAAGAGCATGCCCTGTGTGCACATCCATGCTGATGGCCAGGTGAAGCATATTTTGTTTAAAACACTTTTCTGCTTCCAAGTCTGCTACACTGTGCTCAGTTTGCCTTATGTTCAGATACAGCTATTTTAATGTCTCTTTTATAATCCTTTCCATTACCAATGAGACAGATAGTATCTTTAGTTCTTAAGAAGTACTCTTTACTCTTCCTGTAAGCGACCTGAGGTAACCTGTGAAGATGGTTCGATACTCTCTCGACCCTGAAAACCCTACAAAATCATGCAAGTCAAGAGGTTCAAATCTCCGGATTCACTTTAAGAATACCCATGAAACTGCCCAGGCCATCAAGGGTATGCATATCCAAAAAGCCACCAAATACCTGAAGGATGTCACTTTGAAGAAGCAATGCGTGCCGTTCCGGCCGTACAATGGTGGAGTCGGCAGGTGCGCCCAGGCCAAACATTGGGGCTGGACACAGGGTCGGTGGCCAAAAAAGAGTGCTGAATTTTTGCTGCACATGCTTAAAATTGCAGAGTGATGCTGAGCCTAAGGGTCTAGACGTAGATTCTCTGGTCATCGAGCACATCCAGGTGAACAAAGCACCTAAGATGCGTCAACAAACTTACAGAGCTCACGGCCAGATTAACCCATACATGAGCTCCCCTGCCACATCGAGATGATCCTCACGGAAAAGGAACAGATTGTTCCAAAGCCAGAAGAGGAGGTTGCACAGAAGAAAAAGATATCCCAGAAGAAACTGAAGAAGCAGAAGCTTATGGCACGGGAATAAATTGAGCATAAAATAAAGGCAGATAAAAGTAAAAAAAAAAAAAGGAGTACTCTTTAACACTATTTTTTGCCTGTGGTGGCACATACCTTTAATCCTCGCACTCAGGAGGCAGAGGCAGGCAGATCCCTGAGTTGAGGCCAGTTTGGTCTTCAGAGCAAATTCTAGGATAGCCAGGGCTACCCAGAGAGAAACTTTGTCTTAAAAAAAAAAAGGAAAAAATTGTTTGTGTGTGTGTATGAAATCGGGTGCCCTCGGAGGCCAGAAACTTTGGATTTCCTGGAATTAAAGTTATAGATGATTGTGAGCCACCTAATGTGGGTACTAGGAACCAAAGTCTGGTCCTTTGGAAGAGCAGTAAGTGCTCTCAATTGCTTACTGATTTCTCTAGCCCCCCTAAAAAGTATTCTTTAGAAATTATTTGGAAGCTCTTTCTATCCTCCCCTCTTCTTGGCAAAGCCACGATGGTAATTTTTGTTTTGTTTAGAGAATGACCTGCTGAATTCAGCTGCAGTCCAATCCAGACTGCCTATCACTGAAACAGTCCCAGCTCTCTGCATAGTCCTTCCCAGGAAACAGAGCTCACTTATCCATCAGCCAGCCAGTTTCCTGGCTGAGTGTTCAGGCCAGTCAGTTTGAGTACATACATACCTCCTTGCCTTTGCACATAAGATAGGCTGCTAGAGGTATAAATCAACCCAGTTCAGTATTTAACACAGGGGCTTAAGAGGGTGCAAATATGATTTTTTTTGTGTTATTTGCTGGTTACCGAAAATCTAGCAAAGAATAAGAATTGTCTGTGTTAGGAGCATTTTAAGAGTCCACCAGAGGTCAGACATATGGTTCAAGTGACATTTGATGAATGAGGCTGGAATTATGGCCCTGGGAAGAATTATGAAGAAAGCCAGGATTGCTTTAGTGCTAGGGAGTCTGACTTGGAGTGCACCTGAATTCATCGGTCATTTTGATGTTGTTGGGTAGGAGACCCTCAAGAATCTAACAAGATTTTGTTCTCCAGATGTGTGATCTTTTGCTTCCCCCTCAGGCTGGTGTCTCCTTCCCTCTTAGAGGAATTTTTTTTTTTTTACGAGACAGGGTTTCTCTGTATTGTCGGAGGCTATCGGTCCAGCCCAGCCTCGAACTCACAGAGATCCGCCTGCCTCTGCCTCCCGAGTGCTGGGATTAAAGGCGTGCGCCACCACCGCCCAGCTAGAGGAAATATTTTAATTTGGAGAGAATGTTACAATTCAGAGGAACAGCTTCCACGCTGTAGTTAACGCCAATCTGGCCTGGAGTTTAGCATCTTCAACAGGATAGTTTACCCAGGGCCCCAGATTTTTATCCTGGAAAAGGGCATCCCAGGATTGCTGTGAAAATGGATAGGGTACACACACTGATTAACATTTGTTATTACTCAGCAGGTGTTCGTTTTGTTTCTTTGAAGGGAAAGGGCCTTTGTTGTGTGATTCCCTTTGAAGTTGCAGTAAGTACAGTTCTGAGTGATAGGACAGCTCAATGCCCAGCCCTCAGCAGTGCCTGTCAGTGTTCAGTCCATCTCAAATGTGGGGATTTCCAATAATGTCAATTTCTAATACAGGTTATTTGGATTTGCCACTTTTCTAGTAGAATAACCAGTTAGACAGAGACCAAGGAGTTTTCAAAAATTGTTGTCATCTCAGTGATTATTTTGTTGGGGATT